CATGGTGGGCTGATGTTGATTTTCTGTACTGGCAGATAGGTCACAACTAACAATCACTATACAAAAGTATAAAACTTAAAAATTGATTCTGAAAAAATAAAACAACAGGATCATGTACAACAGAACCTGTTATCAGGTTATCAAAAAAAGCAAAAATCAAATCAGGTTTAAAAACAGCAAAAATCAAACCCGTCTATTTTCGTGTAGGTAAACTAATACCCGGATACCCAGGTTTGCTTTGGTTTTGCTATAGTTTGTATGCTGTAGGTCCATAACCAGTTTTTAAAAACCAAAAATCTGACAAATTTTCTTTTGTGTAGGTAAACTAATACCCAAATACACCAATCTCCAAACTAAAACCATGATCAAAACGTAGGACTAAGAAAATTAACCCCATAATCAAAACGGATAATTAATTGCAGAAACAAATTATGGAGAGGATCACTACAATAAATAAGGGGACCAAAACTTCAAACACTAGCCTCTTACACGCTCAATTGTAAATAAGGGTATTTTGGGAGCTTAAAAATCATAATAAATCATATATATAGCTTAATAAGGTAATTTGATGAGTTGGATCCTAGTTATGAGTTTTGGTTGATAAAAATAGGGTATTACTTATAGAAGCAAAAAGTGAAGGGTTGTAGGTAAGTCAAATTGAATTTGAAGGGGGTACGACAAATTTGCTATAGAAAGAATTACGTAATGAATGAGATAGAAAGATACGCCTCGCAAGTGATAAACCCTAAGCCCATACCCCATGTCATTGGGTGTCCAAGGACAAGTCCTGGGTATCTATAATAAAACCGAATAATGGGCCAAAGAACTAGATAACCAATAAGCCTGGGCCTGAAGACCGGAAGATACTTGCAAGACTCTTTCGAAAGAAGTGGATGAGTGCTATCTACACCCAAACCTCGTCTCCGGTCACCCATCTTCGAATTTCAAAGTTTTGCAACTTGCTCTGGACACTCAACTGGGTTTTATATAATATCCCAAAGGTAGCTCTAATTGATCAGCAGCTTGAATAGAATACACAACACAACCACCCTTCAGTTTAATACTTTGGGCAAAAAATAATATATAAATTTGTCAATGTTCCCAGTTAAGTCAATTTAAAATTTGCAACTTGAGATTTGTATATTGCATATAGGCCACTTCCCAAAGTTTTTGACTTACAATCCATGAGAAAACTATAAAAATATTGACAATTTTGTTTGAAGAATATCAAAATTGTGTTTGGCAATTTTCCTAAATAATTTGGGTTTACAAATACCCATAAAAGGCTAAAACGGTATAATCCAGTGCAACAAGACTTTGATTTTTTCAAGATCAGTGGTCTCAGGTTTGAACCCCCATGACATATTGGTAGTGTATGTGAAACTCTATTCCCTCTGTAGTTTAAACTTTAAACTATCGTTTGTATTAGAAAGAAGAAAAAAAATACACAAGAAATAGGAGAATTTTTCAATGACTTGTAGTTGCAGAGTCTTTCAACTCATCTAATTGAATTCAACACCAACTCATGCTGCCACCCGAAGTGACTGTGGTGGGGGGCACAGGGATGCAGAGGTTTTTGACTGTGGTTTATGGTTGCAGTTTTGTTTTCAACTTCTGGTGGTGTTTGCTCAACCACGTCAGTCGAGAAAGCTCCATATGCCGACATTTGCTGAAAATTGAACTTAAAGTCAATTTTGCCGGTGCATAGAGGGAATGCCAAGCTTTCTTCCCCTAACTTCTTCTTAATTCTCCAATGTGTATGATAATCGAAACTATTCGTTATCGAGCTCATCTTGTTAAGAATTATTCATGCAAAAAAATCAAATAAATTGGAAGTTGTTTCGTCATTTTATTAATGTTTCAACAAAACACTGATTTGGTTGATGTTTTACAAAGATGATTGTTGAAGAGTAAGTTAGATCAATGATTCTGATCATTAAAGCACACTGCACGATAACAATAGAAACAAATAAAGCTCCTTTATTTTATATTTTATATTTTAAAGACATTAAAAAACCCTAATCTCCATATTCTCTCTCTCTCTCTCTCTCTCACTCTCTCACCTCTTTTGCTTTGTGTGTTGCGGGGAGAGGGGAGGACGCTACTCCTCCTCCTCCTTTGTCCCTCTCTCTCTCTTTCCTTACTTCCCTACTTATTTTTCCCCTTTCACATATACTAGATTTGTGGTTTACTTGTAGGGAGGTTATTTGTGTCCAGATCTGTGGATATGTGGTTTTATTGTAGGGTAACAAGCTGCAATCTCAATGGTGTTCTCTGTCTCCAAGACAACAGCGACGGTTGTGGTGGTGGTGGCAACAACTGTAGTAGTGGCTTTGTTGGTTTTTGGTTGTTTATTTGCAGTTTTCTTTTTATAATAATTGCATCAACTCCTTGTAAGTTGGGTGTTTGGTTGTTTTCTAGTCTCTACTTGTATTTTGTACTTGTGAGAGTTGTACTGGTAGATTTGGAGGCTGTGATTCATGTTTGGTTTGTTAAGGCATGCGGTTTTTATGCCGAAATTTCTTTGGCCTTTTGTGGCCTATATTTGGATTAACCCTATATGGTTACTATGCTTCCATATTTGTATTACCCTTTTGCGAGCATTTGTATTTGCCCTTGTGGCAGATGGTCTTTGTGCTTAATATATGAATACAATTATTTCTTTTCTCTATAAAAAAAAGTACAAAAAAGAAAAATAGTTAGCATTCATTCTTTATTATTTGCCTTTTCTCTTAACCATCATCTAATCTTGAATTCTTAACACGAATTAACTTGAATCCTTCACATTTTATTTAACTTAAGAATACGTGTGAGTCGAAAACGACAAAAATCTATGTCAAACAATTGGTAACCCTAATGACATGTTTACAAACACAACAACATCAAATTGGTATTATAATTATTCTAATTCTTGATTTCTCATATGTTTATTGATATAATACTCGTTTTAAAATTCTCATGCATTAAGTGACATATACGGAATCAAAAAGAGAATTGACTTGCCTTGTATGTAATTGTTTCGCAATGAAATTCATAATTTGAACTAGTTTAGATTGATTGGGGGGAATAGTCCATTGAGAGCATTTTTGCTCACCACTTTAACCCAAGATGTATCATCACTAGTAGCGGATCCAGGATTCTCGGGTCATAGGGTCACAATGTAAGAGTGTCGAAATGTTTTTAGGCTAAACTATTGAGGCATTTTTTTAGGACAAATGAGTCATTTCCTATCCAATTATTTAAATAATAAAAAATAAAAAAATTTAAATTATAAATAAATGAAACACACACTAATACTCTACCATTAACCCAAACCTACCCTAGAAATCCTCTCTAATACCAGAAAGAAGAAGGGTTTTTGAAGATCTCAGGTTCAGCAATGTCTATTTCAATATATCTCACACACATCTTGCACTAATTTCTCTTTATCCTCTTAAGGAAAGATCAATTATCTAACTTTTTAGCGCTCAACTCAAGCGCATCAGGCTGGCATTTCATCGAGCACCTTGCGTGCATCTTGGGGTCATCTTGCAACTAGTCATGGGGTATACTCAAACCTCCACAGGCTATCCACAACCATATTTCTGGCCATTTCATGGGGTCGTGCAACCCTTCTTGTCTCTTAATTCGTTCATCAATGATTATCACCACCTTTCTCAATACGTGTCTATGAGCATAACTATAATTCCATAAATACAAAGTAAAAGGTCAACTATGGTTAGACCCATGAACACGTGTCAAGTGTTGAGAATAATAATAAAAGTACACATTTAGTTAAAGTGAAGAGCAAAAAATATTTATTAATCAATTCTCTTACCCCTTCCCAACTTCTAACTTGCGGAATTCACAAGTCTCGTATTCCAAATAAGGAAACATCCCATAAAAAAGAACCTTGAATCTTGTGTGTGGATTACTCCACGCCCAACTTTGGACATAGTTAGATGAACAGCGGCCTAGAAGGTTAGGTTATCACTCACCAGGATTGCGTGGTTGGTGGAACTTGCCTTTTATGTTATATTTTTAATCAATATTTTATTCTCTCTCCTTTAGGTTTAATTTTCCAAATTCCTATTAAAAAAATTGCAATGTTTTTATTTTATTTTTATACAAGTGAAATTGGAGGAGGGGATTTTTTACAACTACCAAAGTGAAATTGGAGAAGGGGATTTTTTACAACTACCAAAGTGTCATTGGAATTCGAACATGAGACCACTGATTTACAAATCGAGGCCTTGTTCCATTGAGTTAGAGCCGATGACAAAAAATGGCAATCTTTGTCTTTGATTGTGTGGATAATGAGTGAAAATAAAACCACATTGAGACACAAACAATTTTCCAGTTTTAGGCAAAAGATCAGAATGGACCGTGTTATCTGACTCAGATGGATTTAACAAATACTTTAGTTGGGACCTAACACATTAACGAATTATAGAAAAAGAAATAAATCAGTGGGCTTTAGGTTAGCAAATAAACATATGCTTCAACAAAATTTGTAACCTTATTTGGACCCAGTCTCTCTTCTCTTCAACATTGACTATTCACAATTCTTCAAGCTGCGGGACGTCGTCGTTTTGATTCAACGCTTCCGCACACCATGTCGTTTCTACCTGTAAGAGCAAAGTCGTCGATCTACGCGTAATCGACCGTAAGTCTGTAACTTATTGACCGTTGTATCTTACGTTGAGATTATCATTTATGATCAACGGCTCATAACTGGCCGCGTCAGCCACGCATTTCAAAACAGAAAGATTCAAAACAAAATATCTCTCCCTGGTAATTGAAATCTAAAAACAAATCGAATACCGGAGCCGGCGTTAACCACAGGGCCCCTCCCTACACCACCTAGACGGTCAAATATGGGGCCCCACCCCTGCCCGATTCTTCTAAAAAGGCACTGCCTTTCTATTCTTCTCTCTCGTCTATCCTCATTTTCACCCAAAACAAGCAAAGAGAGAGCACTGCACACTCTCTCTGCAGGGTCTCCGAGATTACTCCCTCAAATGGACGGCTTCGATCGACTCCCGGACTCACTGATCCTCCAGATCTTCGACTCGGTCTCCGACGTCAAGACGCTCATCCGCTGCCGCGCCGTGTCGAAGCGGTTCAACTCGCTCGTTCCCCAAACTGACTCGCTCCTCTTAACCGTCGACCGAGTCATCTCCTCCGATTCGGACTCGGATTCGGCGAACGACGACGTTTCACACCTCCTGGTTACCTTCCTGAAGTCCATCCTGAAATCGATCCACGACCTCGTCTCGCCGAGGCCCGACCCGACCCGGGCCCGCTCCCAGAACTCGCCCGCCCAGATCCTCCGGTCCTTCCACAACGTCCGAAACCTCTCGATCGAGCTTCCCTCCGGGGATCTCAGGCTCGAGAAGGGCACGGTGCTGAAATGGCGAGCGGATTTCGGGAAGACCTTGAGGAGCTGTGTGATCCTCGGGTTCCGATCGGTCGTCGCCGGCGGGGAAACGCCCGTGCCCGGAGATGACGCGGACTTCGCCGGAGGTCTGAAGGTGCGGGTGGTGTGGACGATCAGCGCCCTGATCGCGGCATCGGCGAGGCACTACTTGCTGAAGGAGGTGGTGAGGGAGCAGAGAGGGCTGGAAACGCTGGTTCTGAGAGACAGAGAGGGAGAAGGCGTGGTGGTGATGGAGAAGGAAGGGTTGAGAGAGTGCGGGAGGGAGGACACGTGTGATGCGGAGGAGGAGGAGGAGGAGGTGGAGGAGGAGGGATGGGATAGGGGAAGGAGCAGGGTGCCTAGCGTGAGGATGCGGATGAGGCACGTGCCGAGAATGGAACTGAAGGGTGGGGTTTGGGTGGAGGGCGCGACACTTGTAGTGGTGAGGCCGAGTTTGAGTGGTGACGTGGAGGATGGTGATTTGGCGATGGGGGCATTTGGCGGGGATGTGCTTTACGGGGAAGTTGTAGAGGCTTTGCTCAAGGCCAAGAGTTATTTACTGGAAATGAACTCATTCTAATTATTCATGGCAAATGTTAAAATGTTTTTCTTTTTTCTTTCTGGTTTTGTTTTCGATGCTCTGTACATTCATCCTGATCCTTTTTGTTTTGGCCCCAAATATTTGTAGAAGTAGTGTACTACTACCAGTTGGTACCTTGGTGCTGCTACTGAGCAATTGTATGAACAATCGAATAAAGCTTTTGTCCGTTGCTAATATTTTGGGGGAACAAAATCATGTCCTCTTTTGAAAAGAAAAATAAGTAAACAAATTCGTACGAGTTTAGGTCACCATGTGGGAGATTTAAGAACTTTTAAGAGGGAATCGAATTCGGGTACAAGCAACGGCAACACCGCCTTGGCCAATTGGTATAATTTACGTCTTCATGCATATTTTGGTGTTAATTTGATCCCTATTTGTCACCTTAGCAATGTATCAAAATAGGATGACCACCTTCACTTGCCTGAATTGGAATAGCTCTTGGTTGGACCTCAGTCTAGGCAAGTGAAGGTGGTCATCGTATGCCATTGGTTAGTGCAAACATTAAGACTTGAAATTATTAATTAAATAAGAATAATAGCGTAAATTCACACTTTTTTATATTAAAAAAATTAAAATTAAAAGAAAAATCAGATAATAAATCCTATTTTTATAGAACACAACTACCCATTATTATTTTTAATTCTAAAATAAATTTAAATTTTTTTTAAAAAACGCGCTTGCGAGAGGCTAGTATACATAATTTACGAAATTTAATTCATTTATTTCCAAATTCAATAGCATTTATTTATAATTTATTAAAACTTTGAAATTGAGCTCAAAAAAGGGAGAACGCATGTCTGCTCATTTTATTCATGTGGGATAATGGCCCAATTCATTTGGACCTACTCGAGTCAGGGCCAGTCTAATTCTTAAGGCCAACTCAATGTGGAGTGGTTAACTCATGATTATTATATATCTGGTAAGTATGGATTCGAACACACATAAGTAACTGCTCTTAATTATTTGAGTTATAATTTCCTTACCTAATCAATTTTATATAACAATGGATTCACCTGCTTTAGTTAGAAATAGCAAGTGATTTGCACCCATGGCTCATGAGAAACTCAAATGACGCCTTCCCATATGTTACCCACTATCTACCTGATCCCGACAGATTTTTCATGGATCTTGCCTAATTGTAATCCATTTAGGACGATTTATCCTGTAACGTTTTTGAAAATATTTCCCAGCACCCTAATTTTGACGTTAGTGTATGAATTAATCCAAAGTCTTCACCAAATCATCTTCACTTTCAAAGTGAATGAATTAAAATATAAAAACAGCCTCCCATTATTCTTCTGCACACCTCTAAATTCTGAAGCCTATGAATGGAAACTCCAATGGCTGAGTGGAAGACAAAGTCATAGCTAAGAACATTATAAATATATATCTCAGAAGCACAACCACTAACATTGTACATTTCACCCGAAAGAAAAGAAGATGAGCTCTTCAACTTCTTATGAGAATCAGCTCAATGGTTCGATCCCGACATCACTAGGTAACTTGACAGCCCTTACCCATCTATGGCTTTACTCAAATAAATTTTCTGGCACTATTCCTGATGATATAGGGAAAATAGAATTTCTTGTGCATCTCTTCTTATCCAACAACAACTTCACTAGTTGTATCCCTAAAAACTTTGGAAACTTAGAAAAGCTACAGACGTTGTACTTGTACAGAAATCAACTCTCCAGTTCAGTTCCAGAAGAATTAGGGAATCTGAAATCTCTTGTACGTTTAGATTTGTCTTACAACAATTTAACAGGTGGCATCCCTCCAAAATTTGGAAACTTAAAAAACTTGCAGTTGTTGTACTTGCATAACAATCAACTCTCTGGTTCGATTCCGAAAGAGATAGGTAACTTAAAATCTATTGTGGATCTAGGGTTGAGCGAGAATCAACTCAATGGTTCAATTCCTGCTTCATTCGGTACTCTGTCCAATTTGGAAATCTTACATCTACGGGATAACAAACTTTCCAGCCCTATCCCCAAAGAGATAGAGAATCTTAAGAAGTTGACTAAACTGCACTTGGATACTAACCAATTTTCTGGTCATTTGCCCCAACATATTTGCCAAGGTGGACAACTCACAAACTTTTCAGTACACAACAACAATTTGACTGGTCCAATCCCCAGAAGCTTGAAAACCTGCACAAGCTTATTCAGAGTCCATCTTGAAGGGAACCAATTGACAGGCAATGTATCTGAAGTCTTTGGCGTTTATCCGAATCTTGATTTTATAGATGTAAGCCACAATAACTTGTATGGTGAAATCTCACACAACTGGGGACAATGCCCACAGTTAAAAACCTTACTAATGGCAGGAAACAAGCTTACCGGTAGCATACCACCTGAGATAGGCAATGCAAACAAAATTCATGTGCTCGACCTTTCTTCAAATCATTTAGTTGGGGTGGTTCCGAAGGAATTTGGGAGACTGACTTCTTTGGTGAAGCTGATGTTGAATGGAAATCAACTTTCGGGTCGTATACCTTCCGAATTTGGATCATTGACTGATCTTGAATATCTTGACATGTCAAGAAACAGTTTCAATGAGTCTATTCCGAGCGTTCTCGGTGGTTTGGTTGAATTAAACTACTTGAATTTGAGCAACAACAAGTTCAGTCAAGCTATTCCATTTCAGTTAGGGAAGTTAGTTCAACTGTCCCAACTAGATATAAGTCATAACAGATGCCATCAAAAATTAGCAATATGGGGAGTTTGGAGACGCTTAATCTTTCCCACAACAATCTTTCTGGTTTCATTCCAACAAGTTTTGAAGGCATGCATGGTTTGTCCTTTGTGGACATCTCCTACAATGACTTAGAAGGCCCCCTTCCCAACAAGACCGCATTTCGAGATGCTGCACCGGAAGGAATACAAGGGAACAAAGGATTGTGTGGCAATAATGGAGTTTTGCAGCCCTGCAATGAACGTAGCTCAAAAAAGGACCAGAAAAGGATATTGGTAATCACATTCTCTCTTCTAGCTGCGCTTTTACTTTTGTCTTCTTTCTTTACAGTTGTCTTTATATTAGATAAAAGAAAGAAGCTTCAGCATTCAGATCCAGAACGAAATAACATGCATGAAGCAATTTCCTTTTCGATATTAAACTTTGACGGAAGAGCGATGTATGAGGAAATCAAAAAGGCAACACAAGATTTTGATTCGATGTATTGCATTGGGAAGGGAGGACATGGAAGCGTCTACATAGCGAATTTGTCATTTGCCAACGTAGTAGTGGCCGTGAAGAAACTCCATCTACAGCAGGACGACGAGAAGAATGTTGAGAAGGAATTCTTAAATGAACTAAGAACACTGACTGAGATACGACACCGAAATATTGTCAAGCTTTACGGTTACTGCGCACATAAACGACATTCATTGCTGGTGTATGAGTATCTTGAAAGAGGTAGCTTTGCCGCAGTGTCGAGCAAAGATGAAGAAGCTAAAGAGTTGGGGTGGAGTAAAAGAGTGAATATTGTTAAAGGTGTAGCTCATGCCTTGTCTTACATGCACCACGATTGCTTGCCTCCAATTGTACATGGGGACATATCAAGCAACAACATTTTGCTGGATTCTGAATTTGAGGCCTCTGTTGCAGACTTCGGCGCTGCTAAGTTTTTGAGCACAAACTCAACTAATTGGACTTCTCTTGCAGGCACATATGGATATGTGGCACCAGGTAATATTAATGGTCTCTCTTTTTTCTTTTTCTTTTTTAAAAAAAAGGTATTAACAAAATATTTATCATTCATTTTTGGAAATTTGAATAGAGACAAAATAGTTTGAACACAGCAATTTTTGTGAATTTTTTCTGAGCAGAGCTGGCGTATACAATGGAAGTGAATGGAAAATGTGATGTTTATAGCTTTGGGGTGGTCACATTGGAAATAGTTGTGGGAAGGCATCCAGGAGATCTTATTTCATCTCTATCGACGGGCTCCTCCTCCTCATCCTCCTCGTTGCCGTCATCATCATCTGCATTACTAGCCAATCAAATGCTGGTTGTGGATGTTTTGGACCAACGCATTTCGCCGCCGACACATCAAATGGCAGGGGAAGCGGTCGCTCTTGTGAAGATCGCATTTGCATTCTTGAATGCAAGTCCACAATCTCGTCCAACGATGAAGCAAGTTTCTCAACTCCTCTCATCAACTCAGACTCGGAGGCTGCATTTGCCAAAGCCATTACCTATGATTACATGCGGTGAATTGCTTGCTTTCAATCCTTTGACTACCTGATCAGGATGTGGTTAATTCCTACTGCCAGCTTTCTGCTTTGAAACAATAAGTGTCCTAATTGTTGTTTTCTTATTGTTATCTAATTTTATTTACTTTGGTCCTTTGTAGTGCTTTAAAACTTGTCTCACATATTATTATACATGTGGTGTTTTGTAATATGCTGCTAAGAGATACTTCTAAAATAGACATGGATTATAGTTTGAACACCAATTGGAGACAAGTGTTGCCGTCGAGGCTCTAATTAAATTGATGCAAACTAATTCAAATTTCAACGATAACAAATCAACGAGACTATACAACGATAATATTGCACACGAAACTTAATATACTGCGGTTAAATGAACCACAAAATGAAAATAATAAAGCAAACCATAACATTTCAATACAACATGCTTATTGGGAATTAAATCAAACGGCATATATTGATTAAACGTGAACATGCTTATTCAGATACGTGTATTTGGTTTGAAAATTTTCCAATGAATGTTTTACATAGATTTTGATTTATATGGTGTTAAGATCCCTCAATGATCTTCTCTGTAATCTTTGTTAATGTCTGTTTCTTGACTTAAAAAACACAAACCATGAAATCTTCAACTTAATTTTCGAGGGTAAAATGGGGAATACGTACAAATGCTGGGAAGCACCCTTATTTGATAAAATAATTTTTTTTGGTAATAAGACAAAATTTAAAAACAGAGAAAGAATATCAGAAAGGAAGAAGAAAAAAGCAGCAGGGTTGAAAAACCCTAACGAGCGAGATTTGGGCGTCAAATTTCTTAACTTTGAAACGTTACATCCAAAAGCAAGCAGAGCATAGTGCTTGGCATGGTACGTAATCTGGAGAATGAGCCTGAGGGCTACAGAGCATAGTGCTTGGCATCACCAGTTCTTCCCGAAACTTGTTAATTCTGCATTCTGAGCCTCAGAATTCATAATCCCAGGCAAGTTCATATTTCAAAACCAATTTCTCTGTTTTCAATTTTGATGTAGAAATCACTGCAAAAATTTTACCAAAACCCTGAAAAATTTGATAACCCAAATGAACAAAAGGCTAATCTCACTCTCATTCTCTCTGAGAAGCTCGGTCCAGCTTCACAGGCCTCCTCTCTACCACTCAATCTCTATCTTGTTTTACTCTTCCTCCAAACCCAAAAGGTCAAAGTTTAACTCTGTCTCCAAAGACGGAAGGTCAAAATCAACGCCCAAAGTAGCAGTAGCTGAATATTTAATCAACCAGCACCAGTTTTCCCCAGAAGCTGCTTTGAAAGCCTCATCATCCTATGCTTTTCTTAAAAATACCGCAGAGACGGATTCGGTGCTTTCATTCCTAAAAGAAAGCGGGTTCTCCAAAACCCAGCTAGAGGAAGTGGTTAAAAGGATCCCGTGGATCCTTCGTGCCAATCTTGACACGACCATCAAACCCAAAATCAAGATTTTCCAAGACTCTGGCTTTTCAGACTCCGACATTGCGGATGTTATATCCTCTGACCCCTGGATTTTATGGCAGAGTGCTGATAATCGGCTTGGTCCTGCTATTTTAGCATTGAAGAACATTCTGGGCTCCAATGCTGGTGTGCTTAAGGTTTTAAAGTTATGTGGTTGGTATCTCAAATATGACTTGGAGAAGACAGTGATTCCCAATATTGAGGTTTTGAAGAGTTTGGGTATAAGTTCGTCGCAGATTGTCAAATACATTTGTCATTTTCCCAGATTTTATCTGCATACGCAGGAGAACATTATGGATTTTGTTAGAAGGGTTGATGAAATGGGTTTCGATAGGAAGTCCAAGTTGTTCCTATCAGCAATTCGGACCATTAGTTCGATGAGTTTGGAGACCTGGGAAATGAAGGTGAAGCTTTTCCAGAGTTTGGGGTTTTCAGAAAAGGATGTCTTGGTGGCGTTTAGGAGGGCTCCCCAGGTGTTTTGTATATCTGAGAAGAAGATTAAGGAGGCAACAGAGATGCTGCTCAGCTCTGGCAAGGCTGATATCGCATTTATAGTTAGTCACCCAGAGTTGCTTATTTGTAGCGTTGATCACAGGCTGAAACCACGACTACAAGTTATGGAGAACCTAGAAAAGAAAAATCTACTTAGGAAAATACCTAGTTTGACCACAATCTGCAAGTACACTGATCAGAAGTTTGCTGAAAGATTTGTTATTCCTTATGCAAATGAACTTGAGGTCTAACATGACCAGTGAAGAGCCATGCTAATGCGATTTGAATATTTTTAGCTGGCACTGGCATTTGATGATGCTTGTAACTTGCAGGAAGAGTTTTTATTTTTATTTTTTGGGGAAGAGCATGGAAAGGAAATAGAAAGGTCATGATTGTTTTTGAGGTATGTTCTTTTGAGCACTCGTGTTTCCTTCTAATAGTCTTTGAAAGTTGTAACACTCAGATTATTGTTATTGTGGATCTGGTTATACCTTCTCCATTTATTAATTTCTTTAAACTTTGAATGCCTTAAAAAAGAGTGATAGTTAGCTTATTTGCTACTCAAAGTAATACTTTGTAATCTTTTAGGTTTCAAGTTACCAATATCTTGAGCTAAGGGTATTAATATCTGCTGTGTGTTCGACTCTTACAAACATTTGTTCTTACTTTGATTGCTCTTCCTTGGCTTGTATATTTGTAATTGTGGCTTATGTAAATTTGCTTTTCAGAGATGAGATTGAACTTTTTTTATTGCAGTCAAATTTTTTTGTTTTTTTTTAACGGAGTCTGCAAATTCTGTTAGACATTATGATCTCTAATCAGAATACAGGTAGTTTCATCGAGTTGATCTATCTGAAAGTGAACAGAAAATTTCACTATAAAGTTGCTTTTTACAATACCTGTGATATTGACAGCGCAAATTCTCCCAAATCATATATCATATCTACTAAATGTAGACAGCAGGCTTTGAAAGCTAGGCCTTCATCATACGTGTTAATGCATTGGGGATGGGAAGATTGGAGAAGATTTCTCATTCTCAATGAATTGGGACTGGCAACAGCGAGGGAAAGGATTAGAGGATTGTGGTTAGGGTAAATAATGCTTGTGTTCGTTCGTTTGTTTGTTTGTTTTAATCTGCTCTACAGCGTATGGTAGTTGATGGAATTATAGATAACCTATTATTTGGGTTTAACTGTATGTCTTCTATTTAAGACTGTTTTAGGTTTCTATACTTATTGACTAAAAAAGGCCGTTCTTCTAAAAGAGGAGAAAAACTTGCATGTCACGGGGATATCACTATTTTGCTATCCCCATGGCGAAAAGTGATTGAATGGGATAGCAAAACATTGCTATCCCCGTGAAATGCAAGTTCTTCTCTTGAAAGAGAAGTTTTTCTCTTGTTCCCATTTCTCAAATTGTTAGATCCCAATACAAGCCATACAACTTACAAGGGCATGGGAAATTCAACTTTTAGCTAGATTTAGACTAAACACCTACTAGCTCCTACTGGTTTTCTTTTGACCAATTTAGCCCACAGTATCCATCCCTTACTATTTCAAAGTCAATTTCCTCTTTCTAGGGTCATAGACCTCCATAATAATTCAAATAACTTAAAACAAAAGCAAAAACATAGTTATTTTAAAACGTTTTGTTGTAAATTAAACTTCACGTGTGGTAGTTATCTAACACATCTTCATTTCTAACATTCTTGCTCGCCCACCTTAATAATTTTTCCCTTTTGCACTTCTCTTTGTTTGGATTTGGTTAAACTTTTTACCCATAGGGTTGATGCTACTCATTATAGGAGGAATCTTTGTTTATGTTTATGAGTTTGTGACATCATCCACCTATCACCTCCCACAATTGAAAAACACTTCAATTTGAAACTCAACTTACTCCATCCATGTTCACTTCACCCTACATGTCTCAATGATGCATAAGATAAACAATAGGTCAACAACATAGATGTGTGCTTTTTTGCTTTCTCCAACTTTAGACTTGGCTACCTTGCTTGATCCGCATGCTTTCTCAACTTTTTTATTTTAAGGATCAAATGAACAGGAAATTGCCAATTACTCTTATGCCAAACTCATAAGGTGATTAATTTAAGGCAAATCTATTCCTGGTGCTTCACGCTTGGAGAATTTCGGCTTCAATCTTGTACGGAAGTGGTGTTATATCCTTATTTTAAAGCTTTTCCTAGTACTCCTGCCTTGCTCCTCTGAATATAATACGAACTAGTGATGTGGGATCGGCTGAGCCAAATACTATGTTCAGACTAGAGCATTCAATTCATGATCAATTACCATTGAACATAGAGGGCCACGATGTTTATATTCTTGAAACGAACTACCAACGTAAATAACCAATTAGTTCTCTCTCAATGTACAAGTATTAGAAGTCTCAAGTTTGATTTTCCCTACCCGTAAATTAAAACAAAAACAGAAAGACTACCAACACAAATAGAGATGATGACCACATTCAAATATGAATCAAAAGGGGGGAAGAGTAGAATATATGAGATGAGTGTGAGGCTTTTTTTGGGCTAGACATGCATCATGCATGGGATGGAAGGTCCCAAATAAAAGTAAGTCTAATCCTAAGGCAACAAGTAGTGGTTAAAGGGGCCATCATCTTTTTCCATGCTCTCAAGTGCATTGCTCCCTTCATCATCACAACCTCACTTTGCTTAATCTCTCTTCCTCTTTTTTTATGATGAATTCTGCGGATCCCATCCTTTCTTTTCAACACTTTCAGTCTGCTTTCCATAAGCCTCCTGGTTTTCTAGTTTAAGAAAATTAGGGTAAGAAAATGAATTATTGCCTATATTCTTACAGCTCACCGGCCGCCACTACTATATAGAATTTTTTGTGTTTGGCTATGGGGAGAGAGAGAGAGAGAGAGAGAGAGTTGATAGAAAACAACAAAATAAAATGAAATTTAAGAAGCAAATTATCTAGAGGATTTAATTCCCTTCTTATTTTAGAAGTGGAATTTAATTTGGGTTAATATTTTCTTTCCCATTCTATCACCCACCTACCTACTACGTTTGTTGGAGTTTCTTTTGCCTCTACCATAATGTGTCAAGTAAACCAGTGATTTGCATATGGTAGACCAATCACTAAGCAATTATTTATGCATCCCATCAAAATGAAAGGGTCGAAAATCACCGAGAATGACTTGAGAAGAAGAGCTCTCAAATTCTTGTGGGTTCCATTTGAAGAGAAGTGGTTTGGTAGTTGTTCACTTGCTTGTGTGGGCACTAGCCGTAGGGGTCATGAGTCATAACTGTCATGGGCTCACAAGTTGGTGGCATGATTGGATCATGAAACAAGGCTCGTGGGCTTTAACTTTCTCATGCACCTTTTTTCAATTAAAAAAAATATATATGGGAACCATTAGAGAAAAGTAAAGGTTACGAAAGAAGGCTATCCTGTGAGCTTGTGACCCCATTTCAAAGGGTTGCAAAAAGGAGTGTCACAAAAAGGATCAAATAGGGCCAGATTTTATTGTAATTAGGTGTGTACTTCTTTCCCTCATCGTTCGTCTTACATGACAATGAATGTCAGAAAAATTATCAACTAGGGCAAGATTTTATTTTAATGAGGCACATACTTTTCTCTCACTCTCTCTTATTACGCGATAAGGAGTGTTAGAAAAATAACTAAATAGCGCAATAACCTAAATTGAGAGATAAATTACATGACGAAAGAGACAGATGCAAAAGGAAGTATGTCCCGGTTGCATGTAAGATTAACATATATGTTAACCAATGTAGAAGTAGAAAAATGAGAGACACAGAGATGGAACAGATGTTAAAGGGAAAAAATACATAAGATAAAGGCAAAAGCAGAGGAAAGCTGTCAAGCCCTCCCTCCTTTCTTTTAAAAGCCATCCAAAGCACACCTCAAAAACCAAAAAACCAAACAGTTTCAGCAAGAAAGCAAGCAAGCAAGCACAAGATCTAAGAAAACGAAACACAAAAACAGAGAAGAGAAAAAATTGAAGAAGCAACAAATTCTTTCTGCAGAACATGAAGTCAAGGGAAGCCAAAGGAGCTCTTTCAGCAGATCTATTAGTGTGTTTTCCTTCAAGAACCAGTCTAAAACTGATGCCCAAGCCAATTTGCAGCCCAGCGAGGCCCTCAGAGCCTAAAAAGCGCCACCAGTACAACCAGAACCACCATCACCAACCTCACCACCACCAGCAGCTCGTCAAAAAATCAAGCATTGGCAAAAGCAGTCTAGGCCAAGCAAGCCCTCTGTTGTGGGCCAAGACCAAGCCCATGGGCTCTGAGATCTCCGAGCCCACGTCCCCAAAAGTCACCTGCGCTGGCCAGATCAAAGTCAGGCACAAGTCCGGCTCGTGCAAAAGCTGGCAGTCAGTGATGGAGGAGATTGAGAGAATTCACAACAACAAGAAACAGAGGAAACAGAGACGACTCGGTTGGGCAGAGGCTCTCGGGTTCAAGAAAGAAGTCATGCAATTCTTGACTTGCTTGAGAAACATTCGGTTTGATTTGCGGTGCTTTGGTTCTTTTCCTCAACCGGATATTTCTAGCGACGAGGATGAAGAAGAAGAAGAGGAAGAAAACAGGGACTGTCGAGAAAACCATGTGGGTGGTGAGGGAATTAGCGACGGTGGTGATCAGAGTAGCTCGAGGGCTATGTTTTCAAAATGGTTTATGGTTTTACAGGAAAATCAGAGTAATGGGTTTTGCACAGAAGATAAAAAGGAGAGAAATGATAGGCAGAGTTTGGATGAGGAAGTTGGATCAACTTCTGAAGTTCCAGTAGCCTCTGTTCCGCCACCAAATGCTCTGTTGCTAATGAGGTGCAGGTCTGCTCCTGCAAAGACTTGGCTAGAAGAGAAAGAAGAAGAAGAAGAAGAAGAGGAAGAAAAAGAAGCAGAAAACAAAAATGGATTGGAAAAAGAAGAGAAAAAGGCCAAAGTTACTTTGAAGAGCTTAATGGAGGAAGATAAACAGAGAAAGAAGACAGAGAGCTTGGTGGTGATGGCATATGATTCTGATTTCTACAAGATTTCTTCTGATATTTCCAAGGAGACATGGGTTGTTGGTGGAATGAAAGATGCAATTTCCAGAAGTCGAAGTTGGAAGAGATGAAGAAGAAGAAGATGATCTCTTCTTTTTTTCTTTTTCTTTTTTTGTGTCAAAAGAAAAATATGGTTTTTTTTTTCTTTATTAATTCTCTGGCTTGATTTGGTTTTGTGAGCTTTTTGTCCACTGAGTTATTCTGTGGGAACTGGTAAATCCAAAGCTCCCTTAGCTTACTTTTGCTTCATTCTTGTTGCTATAGATTTTAGTACTTGTACAGCTTTTCTGTTTCATTCTCCTGGAAAAAGATTTTGCCAGCATTTACAGTTTTGTGATGTATATGTCCACCATCACCATAGTCGTCTTCTGTTTCAGAAATCATGTATGGTGCTTTTGTGACACAAGTGTTGATAATTTCTAATTAGATTGTTAAGTGGCAGAGATGTATATTTTCTATGGTGGGTGTTCAAACCAACGAGAATGTTCCAACTAGAAAAGAACTGAGATATCGTCAGAATTGTAGGACCTACTACAAGTATGCGCCATCATATCACATCACCAACTCTTAAGACTTCTCTAAGCCAGAAAAAAATATCTCATGTTTTATAGTTGTACGCATTTCTCTCTACTTCTTTCTCACGAAACAATTTACCTAAAAACAAGCTTCTTTCTCGTGAGTATGAATAATCTACCAAACTACAAAACAGAGACTAAACACACAACACAAGTGAATTATCTATATAGAAATGGGTCTACAATGTAATTAATGAGTTTATCTAAATTGTTACTTTTTGACCTCTCTTCTTATGTGCATGTTTCCCAAATTTTTTTTATAATGAGTCCTATGTAAGTCCAGTACAAGTCCATGAACTCGTGAGAGCGAGCTCTACGTAATGGTGTGAAGGGAATTCCCAAAATGCGTTCCAAACAAAAATTGATCAACACATCCCAAATCCCAAGGGTAAAATTGTAATTCCACATTAAAATTTTAAAAATTAAAATAAATTTCGGGATGAGATCTTACAAAGACTCGTTTTGAGTTTGAAAGGCCATAAGCAAAACTGTAGATCGTATGTTATGTCCAGTTGTCCCATATGTTTGTCTAGATTGTTGGCACTCTTCCTAAAAGTTATGCTTTTGTTCTATCAATAGAAACGGTGTACAATGTAATTGATTACTGTCTAGATTGATTGCCTTGCCTCTCGTTCCCTATATCATGTCCTAATTAATAATGCACATAATTCTATTGTCTATCATGCAGTTTATTAGTTATTGATAAATTATGCCCTGCACTTGGGGGTGGGGGCATCATGTTTGCTCCTTTTAACCCAATTAGCTACAGTGAGAAATATGGTATTAGCTACAAAGTTCAAAGAGTGATAGCAGGATCAATGGCCATGCGCATGCCTGCAGCTGCAATTAGGTATTTATTTTCTTTTGAATGGGCTTTAAATGGGCTGAATAGGCAAAGCTGGTTGACTCTCTGCCTTGGAAAAACCCAGCCCTATATTAACGTTTTGGGCTCACTGTAGAGAAGGGCGAATTTTGTTACAAAATCGTTTTGGTGTCAAAGATAATTTTAGGTGTCCATGAAATCACCGTATCATATTATCTTCGCTGATGGGCTTATCCAGAAATAACAGTGAAATTTATATGCAAAGCAATGGTGAGGAGGAATTGGGATCGAAATTTTATGAAAGTGCACCCTTGCGGTTTCTAATCTAGGGTTTATTTGGATTTGGGCCGCCCTAATATATGTTAAGATTTCAAAGAAACAGATCAATGGACTCACTACTAATTGGTCTAACACCGATAAATATCTCAACTTTACCATCTACCTAGTGTGAAATTTTGCACAAAGACCTCAGTGTTATTAGTAGGTGAACTGTTGGTTTAGTTTACATTCTTCAACAGAAGGAGCTATCAAGTTTGAATACCCCAGCGGGTTGGTATTTGTCCTCATGATGACTTGGCAAGTGATCGACTGAATGCCTGCCATTTTGGAATTCATAGTGATCATGGAGTTTGTTAGACCTTGGAACAAAAAGACATTCCATAGAAAACACATTTCCTAGCTCTATATGATACCAGTCCTAATCAGTCAACCTTTTGATAACATAATTTCTAGGTTTTGAAAAGACAAAAACAGAGAACAAATATGAAACTTCCTCTGATCAACCACAATTCATGTTTGCTTGCGAGGTTGGTGTGCAACATATGGGGTTGGGAGAACATAGGACCCCATAAAACTTTCAAAAGATTTTTTTTTTAAAAGAATCAGATGAAGAAATACAATAAAACTCCACTCAAATTTCTTTCTTCCGTGATTTTATCTTTTGCATTGATTCTCTTCCCACCCTTTTTGCTTTATGTGCAATGCAGGCAAAGTTATCAAGCACATATAATTGGCCCAATCAATTTCTATTTTTATTCTGTCATGTGGGCTTTCTTCTTTTGCAAGATGTGAAGTTTCTGCTGCCTGTCACCTTGCCTATGAACAATATATCAAGTGTAATATGTCTTCTGTTTAACTTAAGAATCCTCAACTGCTGTACAATTTGACTGAGCTTTCTAATAATTCATGGTTGCTGCCTGGAATTTCTTTGACCCTTGATCCATTTTTGTATATCTTGAAGGCTGGGATTGTGCTCACATCCTCCATTTTGGCCAAGTATGGATGGTCTTCCACCTCCACCTGAAATTATATAAAAACAAAGAAAAAATAAGTCGATGGTAAAATAATAAACTTAACAACAATTTTTTCACCAGAATTTATTATTTAGAACAAACCTTGAGAAAATTGACAGATGGGAATCTTGTGCAGACTTGATGCAGGGCTTGCAACACTTGCTTTTGTTTGGTTTTGCTACAAAACAGCACCACAGACATCCCTGTTATTGAGACAAGGTGTTAGTTTTGTTGAGTTATAATCTAGTTATCTAACCAAGAGATCCAAAACCAAGTTTAGTGCTTTGTGGCAATTGGACAAGGAAGAATGAGTTACCTGGAGAGGTCACAAAATGTCTGAAGCGCTCATTGCTGGAGATGAGGACCAAATTTGAACCAAATTTCATGTCCTTAATATCTTCGCCGCGTTGTGCTTTGAGCTGGATCTTGGCTTCAAACAAAGCCTTGCCAACTTCCTCATCTCCAGGAGTTTCTCTTATCAGAACTTCATAATCTTGAATTGAAGCCCCCCACCTTTCTAACTGTTGCCACAAAACAAACAGAAAGTGTACTAATTAGTGATGGGTTTTCAACTTATTACTCATTAAATTTTGTGCAGAAAGTATGTTTGGGTTTCAAGTGAGAAAAATTCACCTTGGCGTTGCAATCAGCCCGGCGCAGCCTAGCCTTGCTGTAAGAAGGCAGCACATTAAGTGCTGCATTGCAATCATCAATGGCCTTTTCAAATTGTCCCAGTTTAGTACGACAAGCTGCTCGGTTGCATAGTAAAACTGAGTTGTGTGGATCATGCTGCAGTCCTTGACTATACACTACACATGCTTCCGAAAATTTCGATGCCTTAAAGAGAAGGTTACCACTCACTCGGGCTGATGCAACAGCTCGAGCCCTCTTCACCACCGCAGTGACATTCTTGTCACTTGGATTGAGTCGTGCTGCATTCTGAGCTGCAGCTATAGCATCTTCAAACCTGTCAACCCCATAACTCTAAGATGTTACCATCTTCACACGTCTTAATCTGAACCTAAGATAAATTAGTACTTAATTTAATGATTAGTGACCACATATTGCATGCCGAGTCTTTTTCAACGGCTGCAAATTAATTATAGGGACCAACCTAACTTGTGATTTAATAAAAAGCTTATATTTAAAAGTCCGATATCATATTAATTAGCGCTAATAAACTAACCTGCCAGCAGCCAAGTAAACCTGAGCCCCAATCATTAACAGATAAGCACTACTTGCCAAGCCAAAGAACTTGGTGCATATATCAATGCTGAAACTGGGTCGTTTTTGGTAGGTGGCATAGGCCTCTTGATGTCTGTGAAGCTTCAGCAAGGCCTCAGCTTGTAGAGCAAAGACCTAGGCATAAAAAGTAAACAAACATTAGATTGTTTTGATCAACAGATTATACTAATTAACCTTTAGCAAAACAAGGGGTTGACCAAGAAAATCTAACCTGTGGAGCTGAATTGGCACCTGAGGAAATTGCCAGCTGGGTCTCGTTCAGCAAAATATTCCACTCTTGTAATTTCTGAGCTTCAGTGCATCTGCTGAGGCATTTTTGAAGAGCCTGACATTGGTCGACGTCTTTCGAGTTAGCATATGGGCCCGAGTGTTTGTAGTGATCCAATGCTTTCTCTGCTTCTCCCAATCTAAAAGACACAATTAATGTTCATGTTAGCAAATCTTTCAAAAGAATTAAAACAAACACAAACACATGAAAGTTTGTGTTCTGCAGGAAAATATATAGAACAGAATCTTGCTCTGTTTGAAATTACCTGAGATAAGTTGTTGCCAACCGATGATGAGCTTTGTGATAAGAAGGCTCATTCTGGATCGCTTCTTTGCATTCGAAAACCGCCTCGATAAGACGGCCTAAACCAACCAAAGCTGCTCCTTTATTGCTGTGATAAGTAGCCTTATTTGAATCCAAAGCAATTGCTCGGTCATAACAAGCCAAGGCCTCTTCAAATCTGCCCTGTTTGTATGCCTCATTTCCCATGGACTTCAACACCTCAGGGTCTAACTTGTTCCAGGCAAGACCTCCAAACTCATCACTGTTCTTCCTCACAATGTTACCCATCACAACATTGCCTCCTACTTTTCCAAATCCATTTTTTCGGGTAGGTGTCGAATTCGAGTCTTCAAGATTTCTAGGATGATAAGTCAGAGTCTTGATTGTGGCAATGGGACTATTGCTTGCCGCCTGATTCGAAACTCCGGGCTGTCTCAAGTTCCCCAACTGTCCTGAAAGCACCATATTACTTGAAGTGGCTCGGACCAGAGGTTTGCTTTCATTGGCTTGCTGGTGATCAGTGATCTTCCTACTGAGCTCTGCAGAGCTAGTAGTGGATGCCCTTTGTAGCTTCGCCTCTTTCGACAAGTCCTGGATTTGCAACACCTTGATTTGGCTTGAAGTACCATTGGATGAAGATGTTGACCTTCTTCCAGCATCTGAATGCCTTCTCGGTTGAACCTTCTGGTGACAAGCTGAAGGCCTTGGATGACCCAAGCTAGGCCTCCTGGCATGTTTCGAGTCTCGATTCGGAGAAGGTCTACCTGAATTGGAGGAGACTACAATAGCAGCCTCTGTGGATTTGGGTTGTTGGCTCTTGGATTCTTCAGACTTTGTAGAATAATCATCATTGATTGGTGCTTTCAAATCATTTTTGCTACTGTTTGAAGGTAGTGAATGAACAGAGGATTTTCTAGACCAGTAGCTTCTGCACTGGAAAATCCCACCCATGAAACCACAACCCAAATCCTTGTCCACCTTATACTTTGCCATCTCTGCCGTTTTCTCTTTCCAGCTCTTGATGCCTCTTGCAGAAGATACTTATAGAACACAGATGAGTTAATGGTTATGAGAACACAGATGAGTTAATGGTTTTGAGAACACACAGAGGTATCAAAAATCATGTTTAAAACTATTGTAACATGTAGAATGTGTATACTCTCAGAAAACAATAAAATGAGAAGAAGAAAAGAAAAAAAGACTCAAAGCATAAAATATATGAAAATAATCAAAGAGATGGCTTGCCCATGAAGGATTTTGTGTTAGCAGAATATTATCCAAAAGGTGTATATATAAGCTCTCGCAGCCTCCTAGAGTGGCTTCCAAGAAACCAACTTTATCTTTTTGGGGTTCTGGTAGGGAGGTGAAGGTGTGTAGGGTCAAAAACCCATAAACTAAATTAGCGTATACAAGAAAAAGGCCAGTCCCAGTAGGGGCCTTTTTGTTTTTGGGTTCCCAAAAAGACTTATAATAATTTACCAATTTGATATGGAAATACAAAAAGAAAGAGCACTACTATTCAAAATTTTACAGCTTGATGATTGAGAAATTAAAATAAGCTTGTTGATAAAGAGACTTCTCAACCTCTTTCTGATGGCTCTTGTTCTTTACAATAAGACATGTCTACCACTGAGATGTCATCCTGTCAGTCAATTTAATTTAGCAGCAGATTATGGCAAGTGGCTTGTTAAATCCTTATCAAACACAGATTGCAGAGGCTGCAGGGTTCTCTGTTTTGGTGTCTTTGTTAAGTTTTCTGGTGATGGGAACTGAGAAGTTGACCTATGCAGGACACCATTAGGGGAATTAAAAGTCTTCTAATCTCAATTAAATTGCACCTTTGATCTCTTTTTTTTTTTTTTTTTTATTCAAATGATTTTATTTTTGCACATCTTATAAAAGCAAGAGGACAGTTTTTAATCCAGACTTCATTATTAAAAATATCCCCTCACTGTGGTCATTGGGTATAACTCAATTAGTTGAGTTCTCCCAACTCCACCCATGTAGGTAGAAGTTCGAAAATCCCCAGACACCCATACATATTTGTGTCAACCGTACTCCCCTAATCGCTTATACTAAAAAAAATAATAATAATCCCCACTACACAAAGGAAAAAGGAACCTCAACTCACATTCTATATTTGGTGGGTAGAAATAACATCAAGTGTTATACTTGCCGAAAATTGAATAGCTTATTACATACACAAACTTCTTGAAGAAGACGTATATGATAATGATTGCAATAGGGAGGGACTTTCTGGATGATTTATAAATAATTAAATGAGACCATTTACTAACATAAAGCAGTGACAAGGATGATTGAGCTCCAATTTCAGAAATGAATATTGATTTCAATTATAATATAAAGTATAGTAATCTTATTTGAGATAGTCTTAATTTATCTCAATGAACAAGGTTGGTACATGTCATGTGTTGTCGCCTTGTGTAATGTTGCTATTTATACATGAAGAAGAGATAGAATTATTGACCAGAGTTGTTGCATATACAAAATGTGACCAAGTCCATGCAATTTATTGTGCATTTTGAATGTGGGTTTTGGGTGGCATGAAATGTTGTAGGACCATTTATGCAAAACAAATTGAAGCTTTAAAAATCTTGAAGAATACTTGTCATGAGTTTGCCTACATCATGTCTAGTCGGTGCCGGCTTATAAACCCTCCTAATACCAACCTCACAAAAATTCTCCAACAATTTTGCTCTGAGAGGACGGCATCACATAATTCTATCAAATTATTATTAATAGTTAGAACTTGGAAGGAATTATGCTACCTACTCTGGTTTATGATCGATGTGCTCCTCCAACCAGCTTGCAGTGACTTTTCTATGCAATGGGTTTCCTGCATGAATCACACCATATATGAGGTCCAATGTTCAAGCCGATCAGAACAAACTTAGGGTTAGGCTAGAATTGGATAATTTCAATTGGTGAATTCGTAGAAAGAAAATGTTATTTTACTAGATAGTTCAACATGTTATGTTGTTAGATTATTTTGACTTTTTTGTTGGTCTGATTGTCTAAATTTCTCTACTCGTACTTGGCTTCTTGGCTCGTTTGCATGTTTATTTTCAAGAGTTTGCTTCATGTCTCTTCGTAGCTAAGTGTTACTTAAAAACCATTTTATCAAGATTATATTTCGCATAATGGTTGATTGCAACATAACGTACTTAACATAACATACCAAATTGTCTGATAATGTTTCATAGAGAAGGTGATGACGAAGCAATTGGAACAATGTTTTTCATGTTCTTTTTACGAATCTAATAAGTGCATCATACACTTTTTTTTGGGTAAAACATTACATGGTACACTTTATTTGCCGACAGTAGACAAATTCTGTCATTCTATTCAAGATAAACCCTAACACGACCGACTTAAAGTGTCAATAAATCCCTAGAGAATCACACACTTTGTGGATTCTGACCCCGCTAAAAGCTAACAATGTAGTCAAAGTTTACAACTACACAATACCAAAAGACGACCCGCACCACACACCCACCAATCTGATTCTCATCCTAATTCCCTCCTGCATTTGTCTTTATGCCCACCAAAAACTTTGGGCAAACGTACGGCCACAACTCAATTATTATACCTAGAATTTGTATATATGGGCTCAATTCATGCATGAAAGAGCACAAAAAATTTAAATCTGTCGGCTCATTATTATTGCTGGATGGAGGGATGGATGAGGTTGAAAGCAAATATACACGTGTCACGTACATGTGATTGTCTGCAAATAATATGCGTGTGCCTTCTGTGTCACACAATCTAAATATCGCACGTGACTATTGACTACATGTATAAGCCAAGAGCCATGCACCCGTAACGTGTCCAAAATCACAAGCAACCCTAATGATTTTATGCGATGAAAATCTTCATAAATCATAAGCTTCCGTGACATTATTCATACACAAAATGATGGACTCAAATTGTTTTTATTTTATATGACAGAAATGTGCTGCAGAATGGTGATCAAAGCTAAAGGCCCTAAGGGATCTAATTTAGCAGCGGATTAGTAGGATTATTATTATACTAATCTAAAAGGTTCAAAAGTGAAATGAGGATAACATTTATAAGTTAAAGGTAAGGTGGGTAGGCCTATAGGAGCAATACTTTTATTGGGTGCAATCCAACTTTCCCCAGCTAGACTTTTCCAACAGAATTGAGCAGTAAGCATGCAAATAAATCAAGACACAGCATTTCAATTTGTGCCGGCAGGGTCATAAGCATCCATGTGTATTCTCTTGTCAAACTAATACAAAATAGAGATGATTAATAACGAAAAATATTCTCTTGTCAAACTGTTTTATGCAAAAGTTGAATGTGTGATTGGAAATTTCGTTCCGACATATCTATCGAAAAAAAGACCTCATCCATACTACATATATCAAAACATATCCTAAAATTTTAGATCTAATTGATGTGGTATATGTTCACATCTAACAATTTTAAAACATGTCATGTCATTTTCCATGTCACGATTGAAATTTAGGGAAAGCTTTGGTTGCCCCATTGAATAAAGATATATTCTTAAACAAAAGAGAAGAAAGGAAAATTAGACAAGTAAAGACATGGTAAAAGTTAAAACAGAGGATAAATCTTTTTTCTTCTTTGAGGCATTGATAAAAGCTATGGTAACTTCTTCTCCACGTTGGAATCTTAAAAAAGAAAAGAATGGAAAAAGAGGGAAGGCTTGGAATGCAAGGCTAAGGTGGATCAGGCAGATGCAGAACAGAGCAGAGGCCAGCTGCTGCTGCTTGGGGCTCAAGACTGAGGGGGCGCAGATCAGAGATAGGGTGTCCGGAAAGGGTGGCACGTGCACTTTAAGTAAAGACGACAATAGGTGGTCACGTGATCCAACGCCCCTCGAAAGCTGGCCATGCCAACAAAAAAAAGCCTTGAGTTTTAAGGCTCTCTGTGATTCACATGGCATTGGGATCAACCTCAACAAGACATTCTAACAGTTAATCTCAGTTCCCCAATGCTCTTAGAATTTTATGATTTTCATGGATAGTCTCAATAGAATTATGACTAACAAACCAGTTGTGTGCTTAACTCATCATGTGAGATTTAAATTTTTTTAATACTTTGTTTATTCAAAGTTTTTTGTGTGTATATATTGTTGAAAAATATAAAGTTTCACATCGAAATTTTGATAAAATAACATATAATATGTAACGAACGGTTTTACTACTAATAGCTTTGACGTCTTTTGTATAAAATTCCACACTTAATTATGAAGGTGTTTAAGTTAAAGATCATATGTATATGGTTCAATTAAGTTTAGTCAAATACATACGCACGCATTGAACCTTAAACACGCTATCATGCTTCTCTTCTTTTTCTCTCCTTCTCTCTGTCTCTCTCTCTCTCTCTTTAATTTTAAAAAGTATATATTTGCATGTGGTTTTGTAAAACAATGCATGTAGTGATGTATTGTGTGGAACTTATTTATGTGTTGTCACTACTAGAAAAAGGAGCAAAAGTTACACATGTCAAGACCACAGCAGTAGAACAATGACATTTTCTACTCTGTGGTCACAAGTACTATACATCTGTGTCTACAAAAGATTACCCATCCAGTGGAAAATCTGTGGAAGTATTGAATATAAAAGCATTTTTGCCATATAATTAGAGATCTATAATGCACGATTTGAATTTGGGTGGGGTCCAATGCTCAAGAAGCCAAATATTAGTTTTGCTGTTACCTAATTATATGGCAACACCTAATTAGGACCAGAGTTCCGTGATCTACTAACCTATTTGATCACGGTTTTACTAGTAGTAGTCACAAATTGAATAGTCGCTAATTTATGATTTTCTAGTAGTGTGTTCAATGAAATCATATGTTTTTTTTTCTCTTCATGTCATACTCCTATGTATTCCTTTAGATTGGTAAGGACTAAATACAAGTATTGTAGTACATGTAGGAGTGTCACTTGGGGTTAGATTAGCTCAATTTTCTTTGTCTGAGGTAATTTTAGTTTAGATTAGCTAAATTTTCTTTGTCTGAGGTAATTTTAGTTTGAATATGTTTAGGCTAATCTGAAGCTAAGCCTAATTACTGTGATATAGACTCAACAGTCAACACAGATATACATAAAGAAGCACATATACAATTTAATTTTAAAAGACAAGAAATTCAACAGCCTAATTGTATATGTGCACATGGGATAATTGCCCTATTTTGTATACATTATTGTATTGTGTGTGTGTGTGTGTTGGGTGGGGGTTTAAACTAATAAATTAATCATTTAGGCCTTGTTTGGAAAAAAAAATCCGCAAAAAATTTGTTTTACTTTAAAATTAAGTAGTTTAAGGTGTTTGGTAAAAATAAAATATCTGGATTATTTTAAAAGCAGTGACATTTTGATAGCAACTTTTAAAAGCAGGCTATAGGTTGCTTTTCAAAGCTGTTTTCAAAAGAAGCACAGAAAAGCCTTGAATGAATTTTTTAAGTTCTCAAAATACAATCATTCATTTTTTTAAATGACACCATCTCCACCTCCACCTCCACCTCCTCCTCCATCTCCACCACCACCACCACCTCCACAACCACCACCACTTCCACAACCACCGCCTCCATCACCATCTTCACCTTCATCTCTTTCACCACTTCCACTACCACCACATAATTAACGCATAACACTTTCAACATAATATATATTTGAGTCATTATTCACAATTACAAAGTTTTATATTAAAATTTACCAAAAGATTTTGACACTACTTTTTGTACTAACAACACTTTCAAATAATTATTTACCAAATATGGAGTTGCTTTACATTACAGCTAATTATTTTCAAAGCACATCATAAATAACTTTTTTTTTAAATGACAGTAATCCCAAACTTACCCTTACATTAACGTTGTTCACATTGCTAGTTGTTGGATCAAAACACACCCTCTTCCTGTTGGACTGATCCAATCCAAACTCAATTCAAAACCTAGCTATAATATAAATTTTATAATAAATAACAGGCCAGGCTTGGCTTAAAACTTTAGGCCCATTTGGAGGCTGCGGGTTACTCTTTTGTACATACAACAAACCAAATTGGAAACCTCATTTGAACTTCGCCAAAAAATAAGAAACCAAAAAACACAAGAACATCAAAGGAACTGAGTGCAGTTCTGTTATACATGAACACAGCTATATGGGGTAGCCAATAAAAAAACCACATTCGTTTTAGTGGTTTTGGCCAAGTTCCACATAACAGTCTAAACTACAAGGGGATGAGGGTTTCTCACACACACTACAAGTTGCCGTATGGGCTTCGAACCCGAGATCACTAATCTGCAAATTAAGGCTCTTTTCTACCGGACTAGACCCTGTTGGCAGTTCCACAGAAGAACTTAGACCTATGTAAAGCAATTCATTCCAATTTACCCCTTGGAGCATTTACTGGAACAAACAAATCACCGGCTCATTTATATAAAACAACAGTCAGAATATTGGAGAGAATGATGGATATCAATCTGGCTATGCAGCATGATCAAATGCCCTGGCAATGCTGTACAAGGCCTCCTCGCTGTTTTTACATAGCCACAGATTGTTATAGAGGAATGCTAAGCCAAGACTAATATGGGCAAGTTCAAATGCATGACACGAATCGGGCAAATATGGAACTTCTGCCTAGACTGATATGGCCTCTTCATAATGGCTATGTGCATAGTAAAGAGAGGCATCACCCTGCACTCGAGTAATTTGAGGGGAAAGTTTATTCTTGGATCCTCTCTGACAAACTATTTTCTTAGGCTTCCTTCATCGCCTCTGCATGGCCTGCATTATTTCCTACATACTTTATCCACAAGTGCTATCCACTTTTTTATCAGCTAGAGCCTCAAAACCTAGTGGCAGCAAAGTTTGGCTGAGCGCCCATTGCTTCATTCTCTTCACCTTCCCCTGAAACTGAAGGCAGAGCATTGGGATTAAAATTTGGGCTCCCGGGCCTCTGTAATAGCCTGCATACACAATTTCCCAACCAAAGCCCAAACAAACTTAGATAAAACAAATTTTGTGTGTGAATTAATGGTACTTTCTAAAGAAGAAAGTAGCGTGCAAGATAGTACGTGTAGGGATGGGGTTGTGATAACAATAAGACTTTATAGGCTGTATATCTAATCTAATCTTGAGAAGCCTGGAAATATAGTGTTGTAGAGTAGTTATGTGGACATTAATAACATAGGATAGTTACAGTTTCTAGTGGAACACATTACTGGTTGCGAGTTAAGGACCACCCCTAAAGCTAACGGCTTGTCCAGTTCGAACTTCTTCATCTATAACTCTCATCAATATTTCAATGGGGCTACATTTTGGACTCTTGTGTTTGGGGCTCGTAATAATTTGGTCAACTCCATTTAAACTTTAAAAATTGACAAAGACAACTCTAAAAAGTTACAAAGTCACATCGTTAGCCTCATCACTATGAGTCTAATTATCAAGTTAATCGTTTTTTTATATGGCACTCGGTGGACTCATCTTTTTCTTACATGTCACATGCAGGGGCGGGTCTACACAAAGGGCAGGTTGGGTTGCTGCTCCGCCCAAAATTTTCTAAAAAGAAAAAGGTAAATATGTTAGCCCAGCCCGGGACTTGCCAACTATAGAGGAGAGAGGGAGCTTAAATGGAGATCTCAAATCTTAGTTGGTGGTGGCGGTTGAGAAGAATTTAGGGGAAGGGAAGATAGGGTTTGATGACGAAAATCAGGTGTAGGGAGGACTATGGTAACAAAATAAGCGAGACCCTGAAGGAGAAACACGTCAAAAAATAAAAGATCAAAACGAGGTTGGTTCGGTCTAGACCGATTGTTAGGTCTACATTGTAAGTAGCACTGATTAAAGGTAAAAATGTAATTAGACGACCAAAAAAATTGGTAAAATGTAATTAATCCTATGGTTTTTGAAATGGACTGAAAGTTATATAGTACTTCTCCATTTGCTAATTATCATGATTTATTTTCCACTATTGAACCTAACCTAACTTTCATATTGCTTTAAGGGTGAAAAGTGCAGAGTGTAAATTGACCAATTTAAATTGTGTCTTGTCAATCACTAGTATGTTATTATCCATAGTACTATAAGACAGCAAAACATGAATGGAGGAAGAGAAATGATTGTATACATTGCACTAAGTTCATTTTAGCCCACAAGAAAAACATGTAATACCAGCAAGTGAAGAAGATTGAGCGGCGAGCAATCAGGAGAAATCCTTGTCTTCCCGACAAGCCATATATTCTGATCTGCTCGCATGTGCATTGTAATCTCTAATCTGTATGTGAACAAGAAGGAAAGGTATGAATGGATATGGCAGCAAGCAATTGGAAATGGAATGGAGAGCTACAAGATAACATGTAAAATACTTTCCGTATGGGCATGGAAGACTGCAAGCTCAAGCTCTAGCTCTAGGATTTGATTTTGAAAATAGGGCAGGCCAATAGCCATAAATAAAAGAGAATAAATTAAAGTATGTATTGTGTACAATGAGACAAGGACGTCCTCTACTACATTATTGTATTTTGGTACACTATTTTAATCAGGTAAGCAGTTATGTCATATACGTAAGATAATTAAGTATTGGTTAAGATGTTATTATAAGAAGATATTACTTTAAAATATTAAAAATAGGTCAGGAGTTCAATTATGCATGGTCCTCAGCTTTCAAGGTTGAACCGTCCTTCGATGGGATTGAATTGATATGATTTTCTAACAACGAGAGATATTTAAAAGCACTAAGCATCTACTCAAATATTAGAAGATGATCTAGTTAAAAATTTGCAAGTTACATAGGGTTTTATTCTCACCTTTTTTAAGGAATAGTATCAATAAATATCTACGTGTATAAAATATTATATATGACCACAATATCGTAGTATATAATCACTCGGGGATTAGTGGGAACGAGAGAGATTAAAAGATGTAGTAAGGGTGGGAGTTTTGAGCTCCTAAATTTGTTGACTTGAGTGGCTTGCGTAATTTGAGTGTTTTAGGTGTGGAAAATGGTTAAATACCCCAAAGGGAATCCTTAAATCTTTTGAATATGATGTATAAATTAAATGAACAAATCGAAGAAGTTATTTTTTTGAATTATTAAATGAAGAGTCGAAGATTATAGGCTGATTGTTGCTAGCAATCTCTTAATCTCATGACAATTCCTCATTTATAGTGATAAAATTATATGCGAAGTTTGAAAATATTTAGAAATCTCCAAGAGATGTTTCATGTGGATCTAGCAATGATGGTTGATATGTCATCACACAACAAATTATTTTTTAGTAATTTTTCGGTGTGACCGCCGTCACATAGACACATAGTGTTATTTACTCATTCATAATATAACATGTGCTACTATTTATTAATATTATACCCTAGTACATGACACATCAACTATATGATTCATCCAAATTATAACACATGAATTAACAACAACATGTGGAATCGTCACATTCAAGAATTTCTCATTTCTAATTAATTCATTTATCATATAAGGTTAAATTAAGTTTTAATTTGATACAAGATGATTAAAATGGTAATTACAGGAAGAATGAGAAGAATGACTTGCCTATCCATTGCGTGACGGGTGTCTCACATCTTGTACATCATGTGAGTAGCATATGAACGCATATGTGAGGCATGCGTTACATGCAACTAATGTAGGCAAGTTTTTCTGACAAATAAAGTCTCATTTCCTGCTCTCATTATTTTTCAGTAAGGAAAAAGTTTGAGTTCCTAAACATATTTTTCTTTTCTCTTTTTGGTTTGTCCTCTTTTTGGTTTTGCAACACAGGCAAAGATAGTAGTGTGTACTAAAGAGACATCAAAACAGTAAAACTGGTAGAGAGAGAGGCTAGAGGGAAGAGGAGGTAGTGGTTTCGTTCACTTCTAGCCTTTACCCAATTTAGTTGGTAGCCCACCTCTTTCCTATATGTACTTTTCTACTTTCTACTTTTTACTTTCTAGTTCTTTTATTTCATTTCGCTTTTAATTAATTTGATTTGATTATTTACGGTATATAGTTTAATTCATTTATCTATTTTTGTGGTATATTATTGTATTTCCAACCTATAACTTTCAGATCGCTTTCTTCCTTTCACATTCATAACATCTTAGACAACCCTCTCTCTCTCTCTCTCTCTCTCATAATCTCATTCACTTTGAGTTTGACCCGTTGCCAGCCACCGGCACCTTTTTTTTCCTACTCCAATGGCGACCCCACCCTGCACTGCACCATCTCTCTAGAGAGGATCTTTCCAAGGCTTGAGAATTGAGCCCCTCTTTGTCTGAAGAGCAGAAAGCTTAAATAATCTTCCTTTCCTCTTTCATTTCTCTTTTGCTTCCCTGAAACCCTAGCTATAGCACCTCTCTCTCTCTCTCTCTCTCTCTCTCTCTCTCTCTCTAGATAAAGGGAAAAGAAACACAAAAAAGAAAGTATCTTCTCATCAGAACCCAAGAAGAAAAACAAGAGGAAAAGAGAGCCTCTTCTCTTCTCTCTCTCTCTCTCTGCTGCTATACATCTCATCATCTATTCAGGCTTTCACATACATATAGTCATCATATTATTAAGATCTGTAGCTAGCTATATTCTCCAAGTGAAAGACAAGGAAAAGATTTTGCTTCCATTTCAGATCTCAGGGCTTCAAAGTTAAAGATATGTTCCTCTCTCTCCAAAAGCTGTTGTAGGAGAAGGAGAGATGAGATATCCATCACTCTTCATCCCTTCCTTTCCACTACCCTCATAATTATTTGCTTCTCTCTCTCGCTCTCATAATTTGTGACCATCTCCATATACATCTTCTTGTTCTAGAGTTTAATTTATCTTCAAGCTTTGCGTGGTAGCTAGAGGCTAGCCATGGATTCTGGTAATAGTGGAAGTATGTCTTCAAGTGGTGGTGAAGATCAAGACCATGAAACCTCACGGCCCGAATCCCTCCCGGGTTACTTGAATTCTCCAACCCAATTCGGTTCTTCCGACCCAATATTACACCCTTCTCTCCTTTCTCATTACCAAAACCACAACCACCAACCCACCACTACCACTACACTTTTTGCTCATCATAATTACAATTATGATCACCACAATCTCCACACAACATTGTCTCATCAAATACCCCAATCCAACACTTCAAACCCCAATTTCATGCCCGACCCAAGATCCACCCGACCCAACTCCACCAACCCAATACCCAACCCACCACCCTCATCCCACCACCAAGGACCTAGCCGAGCTTCATCCTCATCAGCGGCAGCGCAGACCCGAAACTCCAAGAAGAGGACCAGAGCTTCTAGAAGAGCACCAACAACTGTGCTGACCACCGACACATCCAACTTCCGAGCAATGGTGCAGGAGTTCACTGGCATCCCAGCTCCCCCATTTGCAGCCTCCTCCTCCTCATCCTCGTCGTTTTCGCGACGGTTCGATATGTTTGGCTCTGGAATGAGATCTGCTCATCATTTGGACACGTTGGGGCCTCTCTACCCTTTGCGTCCCTCAGCTCAAAAGGTCCAGCAACCAACCCCATTTCTCTCTTCTAATAATTCTCCTTCTAATTCTGCATTGTTGATGATGAGCAATAGCGGCGGTTTGGTGGATGCCACTAATATTGCTACCACTAGTAACAATAGCAACAACAATTTCAACCCAACAACTTACCAATTGCTAAACCAAGGCCTCTTCCCCAGCATGCAAAACCCAATTCTTACATTTCAACATGAGCAGCAGCCACATCCTTTCCACTCTTCTTCAATGAATTTGGCCAGCTTTGGGGCAAGGCCTGCTCGGGGAGTGATTGGTAATTTAGCCATGCATTCATCTATTGAGGACCCATTGGGGGGCATGAGCCATGGATCATACACAGGCCAGCTTGGTGGTGGTGTTGGTGGATCATCCCTGGACAGCAGCCACGTGGCAGCTTCGGATGGGCACGATGGCTGGAGGGATCATGGAGTTGGATCAAACGATGGGAGATTGTCATCAGCACTGGATCAGCATTTGAGGCCTAATTTGGACAAGTGCTTGGAGATGAACAATGTTAATTCTAATACCAGAGGTGAAGGTACAGTTGAGTCTTGGATTTGTCCTAATTCTGAGTAGATTATATAATTAATGGAGGAGGTGGACAGAGGCCATGGTGGTGGTGGTGATAATGGAGAAGCTATGCATAGCTTAGCTGCTTCTGTTCTTTTTATTTCTCACCACTCAATCATTTTGCAGTATGAATATAATTAAATTTTTGGGTTAACCAATGAAATTATGAAAATAATGATAGATTTGTAGATAGGTAGCTAGCTAGGTATATACATAGCATATATCTTCTTAACTTATTATTTATAGCTCGAATTTGTAGAGTATTAATTTTCTTTTATTATTGTATTGCAGCTTACATATATATAATTCTGTTTTTCTTAATTGGTTTACAGCAACAAAGAATATTATATATATATATATATGTGTGTGTGTGTGAAATAAAATACAGAAACGCAATGTAGGCAAATTCCTTTTCTAGTACAAGAATAAATACCAAAGTAGATGCTCTGTGAATAAGATATGACCTTGTATTTGTTTTTAATAAATTATATTTTCTGATTATTCAGAATCATATATGCGTAGGTGATGTTTAACTAATAGGAAAAGAAGTAGTGTTTAGAAGCATTTGTAGACCTTATGGCACTTGGATTGTGTAGGCCAAAGGGCCATTAGCGTTGTGCCCGCAGGCCTTAATTGGTAGCTTAATTACCTTAGTTTTATGCTATTGCAATTTTAAAATTTCTTTTTTGCGATACGATATTTATAAACAATTCTAATGTATGGGGAAGGAGATCGAACTCATATATAAAGGGACAGCCACGATACGTTAGCCAACTTACCTAACGGGTGATCAATTTCTACATTAACTCTAAGGATTATGGTTGTGTTATGATATGATCTCTTCCACTTTTGAAACATAGATGATATGATGGAGCTGGTGGTGGCAAGATTTGGGGAATCCTTACCTGCCGCAATCATAAAGTAGATCATCAAAGAGTCATCACAAGTCTTTATACTCATTACTCCAATTTCCCCCCCTTTTCTGGTAAAAGGCTTCCCATTACTATTACCTTAGCTTCACTAGGTTTAAGGATCATTTAAAATCTAGATTCGTTAGTATGTGTGGTAATTTGTGTATAAGTGAGAGGGTAGAATTATCATATATGAACTAAAAGAGAGAGAGAGAGAGAGAGTAGAGGAGGGTAGGAAGAGTGCAGTAAAGTCGGTGAAATTAAAAGATTTCTATTCTTATTTGTCCGGGGATTAGAGATATTCGAATTTGTAATCACTTCCAAAATCGTAGAGAAAATGCATATTTTTATTTTAAAAATTAGAGTATTCACACACACATATATATATATATATATATATATATATATTCTCTATCTCTGGCCCCTCATCTCTCTATTCCTTCTATTGAAAAAATAATTAAAAACAAAGACGCTAACCCTAAAATATAATTTTCAACAAATCTAATTGTCATATGCTTCTGTGAGACCTTCGTCATCAAAGCCTCCATTATAAGTTCTATACAATTAATTCGAACAAGGCAGAATATGTTTGGGAGTTCACCTGCTTGCTGTTCATTTGAAACTCCAATAATTTAGCGTATCAAAATTTTTTTTTTATTTGTTTATGTTGTGCATGTTAAGTGTTTCCACTACTTTTTACTAGTTTAATGAATATAAGCATCACAAGAGCCAAATATAAATTCGATACTTTCTCGAACGCATTTTATAATAACACATGGATGTCGTTAAACGGAGAAATTAAAATATGATGGACTTGTGTGAAACGCACGCTTGTCAATTCTACAATTGAAAAGGACTCCTAATTCTGTGCAACGCAATATTGGAATTCTTGCCTAAGCCTCAGCTAATTAATTGATTAAACTGTTTAGAACGACGATGACTTGCAGATCAGTGGTCTTAAGTTTGAACTCTCATGACATTTTAATAGTTTGTGAGTGAGAAAACTACGCCCCTCCCAAGCGCTTGTATTAAAAAAAAAGTAACAATAGAGACAATACAAGGTAGTTTTTCTAGAGAAACTTAACTGATTGGAAAAATTACCACATACCATATATCGTTTCACTGAATGTTTGTATATATAATAAGCTAGAAGTCCCAAATTCAATCTCTCTTGTCTTTTAATATTGTTTGATAAATAAATAAATAAAAGTATGTTGGGCAATTCGACTCAAATAATTGCAAATCAGATTGACATGCTGAAAAATAAAAATTAGGGAGTTGTAAGAAAAAGAGGAGAAAGTAATAAGAGAAGAAAAGAATAAATAATTGATGATATGAGAGAGAGAGAGAGAGAGAGAGAGAGAGAGAGAGAATTAACCAAGGGATATTTTGGATTTTTGGAATTATGGGAACATATTGAGGGGATGTGGTGACATGTGACTCGTCTTTTTTGGAATTATGGTGGCTCATGGCCCATGCCAGAGAATAATATGGTATTATAGCAATTAGCAATGATGTGCTTCACTTCACCATATCTCTCTACCCCCCATATATATATTTATATGCCTAATCATCACTTGTCCTCAGCCTCACGTGACACCCACATGCCCTCAATTCACACCTCCAAATTCAATTTCTCCTTGTACTCCTCAAATCAAAAAATTTAGATAATGCATTTCTTCGTTTCTAAAAAAAAGAGTGTATGGTTTAAGCCAATTATAAGGTTTAATAATTAAGGTTTATAAGCTTATTGGGATTTGTGGTTTCTTCCTCTTTGCATGTCAAGAAACATATGAATAGTGTCATTATATAGAATGAGGAAAGTAATGAATCGAATATCGCGAAAATAAAATACCACTTTAACCATCCTCATCATATAATATATGAATGAATGATCATATGTTTTTGTTTTGTTTCTATGGCTATTAAGAGCCAATCATACATAGGATAACTTTATTATAATTTGGGTTCTCCTTTTTGTTTTGGTAAACTTATTCTGTTAAGTTAACATCCTCTTTCTCTTTAATTATTTGTTAATTTCATTATTTAATCGTTGCGGTTGTGCATGATTCATTACACGCAATCCATGACGTAAATGGGTCTTTTGAGGAACTCGTGGCTTGGACTAGATTGCTACATTACAGCCTGCAATTTTGGACCGTAGTTGGCCTAATTTGGTTGGTCCTTCAAACCAAAAGGGAGCACTTGTACTATTACAATTTCCCTTTGACAATTCTTTGGTCTTCAGCATGCAACTTAAGAGTAGGGTTTTGGGAACAATAATGATAATTTAGAGGAATCCTAGAGGACCTAATACCAATCATGTAGATGTGTTATTGTTTTTTAAGCGATAATCTAAATTACAAGAGAGAAAAGGTTTCTCACACACACCATCTTCAACGTGTTATGAGAGTTCGAACTTGAGATCATTAGTCTGTAAATCAAGACTCCGTTGGCAGATGCGTTATTGTCTTAAACATATTATTTTAACCTAAGTTCCTAATGCGGATGTGTTTAATTATAAGAATTCTTGGTATCATATCCTAGTTACGTCTCTTTCGTCGTACAGTTAGGTAAAATGCTAAATAGGTAGCCCACTATAGAAAAGTCCGTCCTTGGAAACAACATCTAAACTAAGTTAAAGCCACATACTGGCTATTCCACAACTTTCCATTAATTTAGTTGCCTACTCTGAGAAAAGTATATGTTTAAAAATTCAAAAGTCCAAGTATAAGAATAATTCTTGCACCATATTTTTTGTGGAAGGTTTCAACAACTTGAAAACTAGCGGCCAACACAATTTCTAGTCCAATGCCAGCAAGAGACAATTTGCGTGGGTCCTCACAATTGCGGGTGTGAAAGTGGGGCCTAGATAAATTTTTGAATCCCATTTTATTTACTGTGAGAGGTGGATGGATGCAATGTGTTTGTCCCGTGGAGGTTTTACTTATGGTGTCGGAAAAAGAGGAAGTCGAATTTTGAATGCTTTATTTAAAGGGGGCAGAAGAACCCTTCAGACTAATCTCTATTTGCTTAAGCATATTACAGAAATTGTAAAAAGCTTTGAGGTTTTCATCATGACAAAGCACGGACTATAAATACTGCACAAATCAATAGGGCGAGAACAGAAGTTATTTCCCAATTATATTATGAATCATCCATCCCTATGTTTCGAAATATATATATGTATAGAAATGACATCAATAAACTCATTCCGTGAAACCAATGCAATATGTATAATGTTGTTTTAGAAAAGTTCATGACCCTTCAAGAAATAGTCCACATACATCTTTTTTATCAAATAATATTGCATAGGAGTGCAAGCTGGATTAGAATTTCTGAGTAATTTATTGTTGAACGAAACATGATTTAATGATCAAATAGACATAGACAAGTTGTTTTTTAAAGGATAACATCTAAGTACTAGCATATAATAGTTTTTTCAAGTTTTTAGTATGACTTTTTAAGTATGAGTCAATTTTAACCTTTCAAATGGTTGGGCATGTTTACATGTTTGACATACTTTCCCAAAATTTCCAAAAAAATTCCGAAGTATGTGTGTTCCGAAATTTTTCAAAAATTCAGAAAATTCCGAAATTGATGTTGAAATTCTAAACTTTTTTGGAACGGAATTGGAAAAGAATTTTCATTTTGAATTTTTTGGATTGGAATCCCTTGATTCCAATATGTTCCGTCCGAAAATAAGGTCTAATATTTTGAGATGGGGATCAAAGGTGAATTTGAGACTTCATGTGTACATAGAATAAATACTCTTAGTCACTATACACTCTCTTCTATCGAGAGTCATTACATACTCCATAAAAAGAGAACTTTTGAGGATCTAGCTAGTGTGTGAGTGAGAGAGGGAGGTGGAGAAAGCGAGAGATGTCACGGTAGATCTTTGAATTTTGAATGCTTAATGAATTAAGGTGTGCTTCACAAAAACATATGGGGGTTTCATTCAGTTTCACTGCAGACACGAAGGAGACATTATCCATGTCTGCCTCAACAGGTCTCAGGTAGTTTTCATGAACCCCACATGCCCCCCACTACATACATAAATATATATACTTCTGTTCTGGATTATAGAAGATGCAGGGTCATTGGCAACCAGCCACAGCTACAGCCACTCATCAATTTAGTCTTTAGATGTTGTGTCTCCTCCTACCTGCAAACCTAGAAATTAAATATGTACCTACATTTTTGTGCTTTCCCTTCCATCTCCTGCCTTATCTTATCTGGATTCTGGAGCACATAAATTTCGACAGCGCCACAGATTGTTATAAAAAAAAAAATCATTTTGGTGAGTGGATTTTGCACTATTGTATAATTCGCACGTGTTCTTTTTAATTTCTTAAATTTTAGGTCATTTGCATGTATTAATGCTTCTATTAATTATTATTATTTTTAAAATCTACGATAACAATTTAAATCTTGAAACTTTTCTCTCAACTTTTAGTGGATTCCAGAATCTTTACTTTAGGTTTTCAGGATTTCATTAGCTAGATTGATATCTATATCTAGTCTTATCATGATTTCTTTCTTTCTTCTTTGCTGGCTTCACTGATTTGATCAATTAATAAAAATGAAACAAAATAGTACGCAAGAAATTATGTGGCTCATCAAAAGAATATCTTGTCAATTCATACGGTATTCTTGTTGTTCTGGTTGCATGACTTGTTTCGAGCATTAATTCAATCAGATTTTTCCACTCAATTTATAAAAGTTGCATACAAGTTACAACGAAACATATGAAAAGTGTAATTCGCTTTAGATACTCAACTTCTTACACTTTTAATCAATGTCGGCCGGTCTTGAAGTGGTGCAGATTGTGTCACTTATATATTGTGTAGCACCAATATAAATATGTTTATATACCGTGATATTATTCTCAGTAAGTTGGAATCCCATTCTTATTGCCCCAAAATATTCATACCAACAGTAATATTCAACTTAGGTTTTACAATGTTGTGGTAAAAAAGTTTATTTTTATAATTTTACCTCTTTTAATAGAATTAGCTCTGTGACGCACAAAACGACGTCAGAGCGACTTCATCTTTTGTTCATCACATTTTCACGCTGGCAAACGCCAAAATTGGAGGCGTAGTACGCGGGTGGAGAGAGATACCAACAAGGAGGCGGGAATCAAGGAATGGCCGTACACGTGTGTGGTGGGGATGTAGCTCATCCACGTGGGAAGTAGGCTAGCTATGATGAAGGGTGTGGGCCCCCTCCCAAGCTTGTGCTGTGAGCTTCATATGCGTTGGGGCCGTGGGGGCGGTGGGCTTGGACCTCTCATCTCTGTTCTTCTTCTCTCCCAGTCAGTGAGAGAGAGAGAGAGAAGGCAAGTTGTACAAAAGGCAATCATTTGATGTGGGGGGCGATGCTTTTCAGTGGTTTTGCTAGTCCCCATGGAGATTATGTCTGATGCTGACACCTGTGGCCATTCTGATGCCTTTGGCCCCCTTCCATCCATCACCACCAAGCAAACCATAAAAAACTATAATGTACTGTAGTTCCCTCTTATCTCACAGCCCTTTGAGCCAGAAAAACTCATTTCAACGGAGACAACAAAAGATAGCAATGTTTTGCTATATCCAATCAACAATTCTATGTCATGTAGAAGTGTTATTATATGTGTCATAGCGTTATTGATCGAGAATAGCAAAATAGTGTTATCTCCTGTTTTATGAAAGTCTTTCTCCTTTGAGCCACATCAACTCAATCATTAATAATAGGGATTAGAGCTTAATATTATCTATTGACACATACTAAACAATATGTACAGCTAAATAGATCAATTTGTTCATGGTTCAAATTCATTGTCTAACACCACAAAATGTATTGTCAGACAATTTAGTAAGAGAGTATTTTATCTAAAGTATATTTTCACAAATATAAAGGCATTTGAATTTTGCATGCATGACACGTAATTTAGGTATGACTAGGTGTGAGAGCTTGCCGATATTCAAAATATACTTGAAGTCACGTGTATTCGATAAGATGATGGTGTGAGGTTCCCTTGATATTCAAGAAAAATACACAATCATTTTGATATGTATCAATCATTTGTTATTTGTGAGATGATGGACCCTAAGAGTTATTTTCGTTATGAAAAAACAAGTCCAATTTAACGTTGAATTTTGTCAAATGTTGATATCAAATGTGGAATATTTGTTTGAATGCATGCTTTAGTTTAACATTATCAAAATGTAGTTCGCGAAAAAAGGTATTACAATATCAACGTTTTTCTTGTTACATAATTTGTGAGTTTTATGTGGAACTTTAAAGTGGAATTTATTATGGGGTCAAATTGTGAAATTGAGATCATAGAATGAAAGTTCATATTACAAAGAGTTCATAGTATTTTTCGGTGAATTTTGAATATGGAGGTCCCAAAGCTTGGACTGGGTCCATAGTCGAACGCAAGAGTCGAATGGCCGAGTCCAAGTCAAGAGATCCCAATACCGAGTTTTGGCAACTGGAGCACAATACATGTGTGGTGACGTTAAATTGGTGAATGACAAAGGAGTGCACAAAAAATGAAAAATAAAATCACTTTCAAGTTGTTTAAAAAAATAAAGGTATTTGAGAACTTGATTTCACCTTTTTAAAAACTACAAACGAAACTTGTTACCAAACATGTTTCAATTTTCCAAAAAAGTGAAAGTGAAAATGAAATGTTATCAAACAACCCTAAATTGCACAAATCAGAATTCACAAATCTTCAATGGTAGGGAAATGCTAATATAGGATAAGGATTAGACACATGGTGGGCTTGGAATTAAATGGGTCAGATGACATAGAGCTGGGCTTGTACAATTTTGAAAACAACCCTTTGGACGGAAAGGCTATAATGAGGGCTTAAAGTGAAGAGGTTATTTGAGGAGGTCAAATCTCACCATCAACAAATGTAAAGAAATCATGGGACTTAAATATTTTAAATGTTTTGACGGTCGGATCGGTCTCCTCAAATAACCTCCTCACTTTAACTCCTCATTGTAGAAGGGGATGCTTTCATCCTGTATTGGATGGTTATGTGGATGTTAGATACACATAAAATCTCTGTGGACATCCAAATTGCCCAAAAGAATGGTCCTTGCAGTTGGGTGTGAAAGAGATAATTTGGTTCCGAAAAGAAATTTCAGGGAAATTAATTCAACTACATTTTTCACACATAAGAAATGGAGGATTGATATAATATATTTGGCCATACTTGGAAATTAACTATGAAATATCATTCTATTTTATTTTATGTTTGTTTTCTGCAAAAAATTAGAAACAAAATTTATTTAGTTTTCCAATTATATGCTTACTGCTTGCCTTGATTTGTTTAATGAGTGGTCATAAAATACGTAGTTAATGCTTCTACCTTGATTTCATATGAAAAACTAAAATAAAACCCCAAGTTAGATGGAAGGTTTCATTTTTCGTAAGAAAAAAAACTTTTCTCAAGTTTGAACTTATCAAACATAGAAAATGAACTAATTTCTCATTCCGAAGCTCATTTTCATGCGAACCAAATAGCCTTCGACTCTTTGAGTATTGACCAAAATAAAAAAAGGCCTTCGAGTGTCTAGAGGACAACCCTCAGCTCTTTTAGCCCAAGCCCATTGCGAGACCTACCAAGGAGATAAGTATCACAAATTCAAAAGAGTACCAGGAAATGTTGAGAAGCTGAAGCCCGCCAAAGAGCGCCAGAAACCGGTCCCATTCCTTCCTACCTGCCTAGCTGGCAAGGCCCAGCGCCTCAAACCGTGCCACGTGTCACCAACCCTCTTCCACAAAGTCACGCAGTGGACTAGTCATCCCTCCCACAGACAAAGCCTCAGACAACGAAACCATGCCGCAAGCAACGCCAATTTCAATTTCATTTCAAATTTCACCCTAAACTCTTCGACTCTCTCTCTGTCTTCATCTCCAAAACCCAAAAAACCAGAGACCCAAAATTCATCAATAAAAATGAAAATGAAGGCAGAGGCTTTGACGTTGCTGCTGGTAAACTTGGCCGGAATCATGGAGAGAGCCGACGAGTCGTTGTTGCCTGGCGTCTACAAGGAGGTTGGCGCAGCTCTGCACACCGACCCGACTGGGCTCGGCTCGCTCACTCTTTTCAGGTCCATTGTGCAGTCGGCTTGCTACCCAGTAGCGGCCTACCTCGCGGTGCGCCACAACCGGGCCCACGTCATCGCCCTCGGTGCCTTTCTCTGGGCCGCCGCTACTTTCCTCGTCGCATTTTCCTCCACTTTCTTTGAGGTAATTTTGACTTTTTCTCTGTTGCCAGACAGAAAGATTCTGCCTTTATTGGATTGTGATTTTCAGTTTGTGAAGTTGTCAATTGAGTTTGCTGAAAACGGTAATTTTGATGAGACTGTTGAGCTGGAGATTTAGATTACTATTTATAGTAATTATGGGTTCTCTTTTGAATTTAGTAGTGTATCAGTCTTTAGCAAGGTAATTGTGATATAAGTTATAATTGCCAATTAGGCTTAAAATTGAGTTGGTGCAAGAACTGCTGAGACTCAATGAGATTGTGCTTCAAATTCTGGCCTGAGAAATTATTAATCTAACTTGAAAGGGAAGAGTTTGGGGATGTTTATTTCCATTTCTAGTATATTCTATGCGTGTCACAAGTGGAGAACTTCTTGAAATGCTTAGGGGAGGAAAAGAAAAGAACTAAATTTACTTGTTGCTTTGGTTGCTAGCAAGATGGACGGTTTACATTACCTATGCAAGTAGTTGTTGTAAAAGCTTGATTTGAACACAATTGAGTAGTTGTAGGGGATACATTTTTGTTTTTCTTGTTTCTGGATATGTTTGACCATTCAAATAGACACCCCAGAAACCAGAAGACACTATTTAATTTATTGCTCAATAAATCATGGTATCTTACTACTTGAAGTGTAGTTGGAATTACCACTCTATTGGCAGGTCAGAAGCAATGGTGTGTTCTGTGAGTAGCCTTATAAATATTTATTATTATTATTTTAAAAGATCTCACAGAAGCTTAAAATTTGGTGAGAGTTGTTTCAAATTGAAATCTTTTGACATACAAAAAAAGGATTCATCACCAAAGTTTCTGAGAAGTGAATAAAAAAGATGTTTTCCACTTTTTTCCTTTGTTTTTCTTTAAATGATACCCAAAGTCTTACTTGCCTACAGTCTCTAATGCCTTCCTCATAAAATAAAATAAAACAAAAACCCAAGGACCATGCATGAGTGTATTTGTTTGTTATGAAATAGAGCTGTGACAAGTTAATTTATTATAGTCAGTTGTTCCCCAAAGCATTCATTTGAACCAATTGATAAGAAAGGGTGAATAACTGAAGTTAGCAAAACAGAATGAGGGAAGTATCATTATTTTTAGTATTCCAGCTTGTTTTATTCACTTTGAAGTCATTCAGCTTTTACTTATCAGGTGGCTATATCCAGAGCTTTGAATGGGATTGGCCTTGCTTTAGTTGCTCCTGCTATGCAGTCCCTTGTAGCCGACTCAACTGATGACAGGAACCGAGGTACAGCTTTTGGATGGCTTCAACTAACTGGAAACCTTGGTTCGATAATTGGTGGGCTTTGTTCCATATTGATAGCTCCAATAAATTTCATGGGAATTCCTGGCTGGAGGATTTCCTTTCACCTTGTTGGACTAATTAGTGTTCTAGTCGGCATTTTAGTCCGTCTGTATGCCACTGACCCGCACTTTCCAGATGGTGAAACAAAAGATAGCAGTCAGACTTCTGGTAATTCCTTGTGGTCACAAGTCAAGGAGCTAGCTCAAGAAGCCAAGTCAGTTATTAAAATTCCTTCTTTCCAGATTGTTGTGGCACAAGGTGTTACTGGTTCATTTCCCTGGTCAGCACTGTCATTTGCGCCCATGTGGCTGGAACTTACTGGCTTCTCTCATGGGAAATCCGCTTTCCTTATCGCCTTGTTTGTAATTGGTAGTTCGCTTGGGGGCCTGTTTGGAGGTAAAATGGGGGATATCCTTTCCATCCGTCTACCAAATTCAGGAAGGATAATACTAGCCCAGATAAGCTCTGCATCTGCCATCCCTCTTGCAGCAATTCTTCTGCTTGTATTACCTGATAATCCATCTACAGCTGTCATCCATGGTTTGGTCTTGTTCATTATGGGATTCTTAATATCTTGGAATGGTCCAGCTACAAACAAGTAAGTCTCTAAAACTTTATTCTTGGGTTTCTGGTCTTTAATGTCTGCAACATTCTTATGGAAAGTAAAACAAAGGAAAAAGATTAAAGTTTTAAATCCAATGCCATGGTCCATGCAGTCCAATTTTTGCGGAGATAGTTCCTGAGAGGTCCAGAACAAATGTATATGCTTTGGACAGATCTTTCGAGTCCGTACTCTCATCATTCGCTCCTCCAGTAGTTGGGATATTGGCGCAGCATGTTTATGGTTATATACCAGTTGCTGAAGGGTCCAGTGCATCTGAAGAGATTGCCACAGATAGAGGGAATGCTTCATCGTTGGCAAAAGCACTCTACACAGCAATAGGAATTCCAATGGCTCTCTGTTGTGTTATCTACTCATTCCTATATTGCACCTACCCAAGAGATAGGGAGCGGGCTCAGATGGACGCTTTAATAGAATCAGAGATGCAACAAATAGAATTAGAGAATTCACCTACAGGAGAAGAGTATTCACATGTTCGGTTTCCTGAGTCGGAAGAGCCATATGTGAACGATAGAACTGTCATTGAAGTGGACTATGAGCGCGAGGATGCTCTGGATGCTGATGCTGATGATGACGAGCAGACATTGCTGTACCGTCAGTTAACATTCTCCAATTTGAGCCCACAGTAATCTAACCCAGATTTCACTGAGCATTCAAACTCCATTCAAGCACATCCACATACCACACATGTACAGAAGAATTATATCCGTCCGGTTTTGACCTTCAACTAGAAATTACATGTGCATGCACCGGAGAAAGCATCTTCAATACTAACCAACTGCAGAGTTCCACTACAGTCTACAGGTTCATGGTTTCTCTGCAACCTTTCTTGTCATTCTGTTTACTGTTTAGAGTCTCCTTTCTTGAGGGAAGGTTGGGTACAATGGCTGTACCACGTCAACAATGCTTACATGATATAACAACCAATAATGAGATGACACATAATCATATGATGAGAATCATATTGTTTGTGGATCCATATGAATCTGACTTAGAAATAATATGGATTCTACCATAAACTGTTATTTGTAATTTTATTAATGTTTTACATTGTCACCATAAGACATTCAAAATACCGGAATGTAAATAGCGAGTAATATTACTGACACTTATGTTTCTATCCATAAACTCGGTATACAATCCCACACAAGCTTAGGAGATACTTATGGCAAAAGAAAGCTTAATTAATTGGGTTTTGTAGCAGAGATCATCACAAAAGCCCTGTTCCTAACGCTTTGTAAAACCGACTAGACCACATACATTGCAGAGATCTTCTAATTCACTGTTAGATACGAACTGTTGGCTGCCCGTTATATGACTTATGTTCTAGAAAAGAAAAGAAAGCCATCTATATTATAACATGTTGATTAGTAACATCACGTGATAGTATGACGATCACATCCACCCTAAGAAATTTTCTAGAACTAGAGCCATGCGGCAGGTTCTTAATAGAAGATGCATACCAGGCTTACATCCCTTAAAAATGGTTCAAAAGCAAAAGGGCCGTCAAATATGTAAGTAGTGGCAACAAATACCCCACCAGGTCGCAAAACTCAACTAATATCAGCAACCTTTAAAACCATAGCTGCCAAATTACTCACAGAATATACTGGTGAAACCAAAATCCAAAAAGAAGAGATATACTTACAGCTGTTGATGGTGAAGGTCAACAATGTAGGGCAGTACCAGCATCCACTGCATCAAGGGAACTTGTAGCAAAGGGAGGCCTAGAAATGTCAGCTCTGACCAAAACTATGTTCCTAAAATAAAAAACTTAATAAGACATAAAATTTTCAAAATTGATTGCAGACATTTCGGGAAAGTTCCCTCAAAGGAACTAAAAGCATTGAAACTTTTAGTAGTTTTATCGTCTATATTATCCTCCTGTTGAATGAATTCATAGCACTGCTGCTGCAACATGTTTTCTGAGCAACAACGAGAGAAAACAATCCGCTCCTGGCGAAAAGTCTAGAAAATAATCCACTGCCACAGCTAGTATCAATGATACTTCCACCGTAGACCGGCTTTAAGAAATCCTTAGCCAACTCAAACTGCAGTTATAACAGTTAGCAACACAACAGCTTCCTTTCAACATTTCAAACAACCACATTGCATGTTTGGCAGCGACACAATGAGTCTGTTTGTTTTTTCATGGAGTGATAAACGGTCCCTAATAATGGTTTTTTTTTTCTTTTTCTTTCCGGGTCGAAACGGTCCCTAATAATGGATTAAAGCATACAAGGAATGTTGTTTTTTGTGGTGGCCTCACTTTGAACCACAGTTGGATCTCTTTCAAGATTAAATTTATCCGTACAACTTTATTTCCATAATTATCATTCAAGGCAAATGGAGCAAGAAAAGAAAAGCTCTTAATCTTTCTTTTTTTTTTTCTTTCTTTTCCAGCCGTTTTCTCTGCAACCAAACAGAGAACCTGAAAGAAGAAGCTAGAACAACGTACTGTTGGTGTGGTGTCGACCAAGGAGGTGGAAGAAGAAGCTCTAACGTTAGCTGCCGTGAAGGAGCGTTTTAGGATCGGTGGAGTGCAAGGCTTGAGCTTGAACCTGTGAGGCCTCGAGTTACCGAGTTGACTCACAAGAAACGGGGAGGAGAAGAGGTTGCCAATAAGCGTCGCCATTATTATGAGCTCAGTTGTGGTTGTGTACGTGGTTGTGAGTCTCTTGTGGTCTCTAACTTGGGAGTACTATTGTGGTTGTGTTGTTTAGTTTGTCTCAAGACAAGGAAGATACTAGACTATCCTACTTTTACAATTGACCTTCGGATTGCATGGGATCTACCAGCTCAAAAGATCCACTTGCTAGGAAAATAGTATTCGCTTTGCAAATGATTAAGGAAATAGTATGGATGTTGACACTCACACCTACAATTATCCAGGAATATTCATCCATGAGAAAATCTTATAAATACTTATTGTAATGGCTAAAAGGTTTTTTTCGTCAATAAAAAATGGTTCTAATAGAATTTGGCAAAAAAACTTATAAGTGATTCTAGGTCACAACCACCTTTTCTCTTCAGGAATCACTTCACAGTGCTTTTTCAAAAAGTACTTTGATGTTTAATAAAAAATTGCAACGTTGCGCGTATAAAAAAGCGTTTATGAGCAAGAGTGCTTCCTAAAGAAGCAGTCTCAAATGGTTATCTTACTTTAAACAGTACTGAAACAATTATTTCATTTTTTTTGGCACAAAATGTGAGGCTAGCAAACTGCAAATTATTTCCCAAAATAATACAGAATACCTTTTCTTTATGAGTAAGTTGTAGAACTACAAACACCAGATAAATTTCCAATTTTTGAATACCATCTGATGAAGTATTTATGTTTCTTTATAACGACCAACTTCCATGGGAACAAATTCAAATGCCTATACAATTCTATACAAGCAAGGGAGATGCTTGTGGCTTAACTGGGTTTTGTAGCAGAAATCATCACAAAGAGCCCATTCCTCACGCAGGTATAACCAACTAGCCCACATGCTTTGCAGAGATCTTCTAATTCACGTTCAGATGTGAAGATTTGGCTGCCTGATATTTGCTTTGTTCTCTGCAAACAAAAGAGATGAAATCAAAAGATTCAAAACCCAGTGAGATAAGTTAGAATTATAACCCAAAACCATCCACTACATGATGAGACACATTCAGCATAATGACAGAACTGTAGGCATGCAGGTTCTGAGTTAGGGAAAGATGTACCTGAGTTATATTCCCCAAAAATGGGATATAAGATAAAGGCCCATCAAGTATGTAAGTAGTTGCAACAAACACACCACCGGGTCGCAGAACTCGACTGATTTCAGCAACCTTCAAAACCACAGCTACCAAATTACTCTAAGCAAGTACGGGTTAAACTAAAAGCCAGAAGAAAAACAGAAGAAAAAAGACGCTTTCATGCTGATAATAGTAATTTTCCTGGCCCGGCCAGAAAATATCAGTACTTTCAAATCAAAATGAATACTTCATCACTGCCTGATGCGTCCTGATATGTTAAGATTTAAGCCTTACAGGTAGCTGGAGCAAGCAGAACAGGTAGCTTTAACACCATATGTAAATAAGTACTTACACCTGTTGATGGTGAAGGCCAACAGTGTAGGGCAGCACCAGCATGCACCGCATCAACAGAACTTGTAGCAAAGGGAAGCCTAGAAATATCAGCTCTGACCAAAATTATGTTCCTAATAAAAAAACAAACTTAATCAGGAATAAATTTTCAAAATTGATAACAAAATTTTGGAGAGATCCACTAATAGCATTTCAAACTTTCAGCAGCTGTATCATCTAAATTTGAATGAAAGCATCAAGTTCTGTACTTTTCGGGGAAATTCTCCTCCTTCTTAATGAATTCATAGGTCTGTTTCAACATGTTCTCCGAGTAGTCCAAAGCAACAACAAGAGAAAATAATCCACTCTTCGCAAAAAGTCTAGAAAATAGCCCACTCCCACAACTTGCATCAATGATATTTCCACCCAAGACCGGCTTTAAGAAATCCTTAATCAACTCAAACTGCAGTCAAAATATGGTGCGGTTAGCAACTCGACAACCTCCTTTTGCGAGATAAATCAAGCACAGAATAGTAAAATTTGATTTATATTTTCAGCATTCAAACAACCACATTGCATATTTGGCAGCAACACAATGGATCTATCTGTTTTCCCATGCAGTGATAAAGAAATTGATCATCTCACCTCTTTCTCTGGGCCAGGAAAACCACCCCAGACAGAAAAGCTTTGACGCCAGCCCCTCTCATAGAGGAATGATACCAATGGAGTCCTGATCCAAGAAAAAGTCAGTAGACATTATAAAGAGATGCAAATCAACATATTCATGAGGTATTAGAAACTAGTCTTAATAATGCTTCAAAGAGTTTAATGTGGTTGCTACAATCAATTGGACTAAGTTCATGCCATAAAAGGTAAAAGTAATAAAGTTGAACACAACTTGTCTATGTGCACAGTTTTTTGGTTCAGAGTATTGAATATCATGTATAAAATCATACATGAGAAGTAAGCACATCAACTTCCTTATCTCCCTTGTATGACAGATGTATAGTTCCGAGAAACACTAAAACTGGAAAAGGAATACTAAACTTCAAAGTAGATACATGATCTCGGAACAACTGTACCAAATCAGGCCACTAAAGATCAATACAGTAAACATCATATGTTATTCTGGCATTATAAGCCCTTAAAAATAGAGCCAAATGTTTTCATTCTTGTGCAATATATACTCCCAGATACGAATAAGTTTAAAGGGCTCACGTGTGACTCTACTTTAACTCTATTGATCAGATCACCATCCTCAATTTAAATTCATTGTGAAGATGTACCACAAAATTGTTGTAAAACTGATGGCTGTACAATTTCAATACCTGAAAAGCTCTGTGGAAACCGGCATTGATTCACCATACTTCTTGGAGCCGCTGGCTGTTGTCAGGTCAATATGTGTTTGATTGCCAAAGTAAGTCTTCTTACAAGTGCTACATTGAAAACTAGACCCGGAAGCAGAGTTGCTGTAAATCCAAACAACAAAGCATACCACTCCCCATATTAACAAAAAAATAAAAGAGGGAAATAGCAAAAAGCAAGTCAAAATAAAACAATGCAACCACAAGTAATTCAAAATAGAATAAGCAGTGATTGGAATCACTTACACAGATAAGCCCGGATCACCGGAACTTGAAAATTGGTCGAAGCATATAGGACAAGCTAAAATGTTATTGCTGCTGGTGGTGACCTCATTTTGAACCACAATTGGATTTGTATCCTATTGTTTAAGATGAAAGCAAATAAATTTTAAATGTAATGTCAAATATAAACAGTACCCCGTTTAAAATTAAATTAATCCAAACACGTTTGACTCTTATTGAGGACAATAGAACAGTAGAAAATAAAAAGCTCTAAAATTTTGTTTTTTCCGGCTGTTTTCCGGCAACCAAACAGACAAATACAATTGGGTTTTCCATTTTCTATTCTGCGAATTGATTGGAGGAATTCATTGAAGAAACAAGCAAGAAAAGAAGCTAACACAACGTACCTTTGACTCGACTTCAATGAAGGCGGTGGAAGCAGCACGAGCAGTGATTGCAGCGAAAGAGCGTCTGAAAACCGGTGCAGTGCAAGGCCTGAGCTTAACAACACAGGGCCTCGAGTTACCGAGTCGACTCAGAAGAAACGCGGGGGTGAGGTTGCCAATCACCGTCGCCATAAGAGCTCTCTGTTTTGGTTTGTGGTGGGTTCTGAGTGTGCGTACTTGTTTTGAGTGCGAGTGTTTTTATAGAATAAGATTGCATAAATTACATGAGATTAGTTTTAGTTTGTTTTAAGAACATACTTAGCATGTCCCGACAAATCTCCGAATATTTTTCATAACGGCCTGCAATTCATAGTGACACTCTGTTCTGTGTTCTTTCCTCTCGGACTGTCCTGCTTGCAACATTTACAATCGACCGTCGGATAGCATGGGGTCCACCCGTGTCAATGATCAATTTCAATTGGCTCGGTTGGTCCGGTGAGAGGCGATCGATTCATCGTCACTCACGTCTTGCAACAATGCTTAATTTGAGAAACTTTTACAAGTACTTGCAAACTTATTAGATTGTGAATTTAAACCATTAGTCACATGAAACATTGTTTGAATGTGTTGCTCAAATTAATTTGAGAAATTATGGTTATAATTACTAATTCAAATGTTGGATATTAAGAGAGATTTTTAATTTGAGACAACTTAGACAATACGATTGATAATCAAGAAAAAATACACTGGGAGATGTAGAGTCTTACTCCACTCAACAACACAATCCTCAAATAAGACATTATGAATAAAATCACAAGGTACCTCGAAAGAAACAAAACAAAACTCTACCCTATGCGCCATGGAATTTATCTCATGAGGGGTGATTCAAATAGACTAGCTAAACCCTTCGTCCATTGATTTACACCTTGGCCCCATTTGATTCATGGGAAAGGGGGCTTGGGAATGAGAAATCAATTGCTTTATCATATTTGGTAATTCCAGGCATGAGAAATTGTTGCCTTGCATATGAGAAAGTAAAGGGGAAAGTGAAACCCTCCTTCTCGCTTGAGTTTTGTTTTCCTCCTTATAGGAAAGTTTAGGAAAATGAGCAAATATTAAATACATATTTTTCATGACCATATTGTCTTCATTAACAATTTAGAATTACAATATAGTATTCAATGCATTCTTTTTTTATTTGATTTTATATGGGTATAATTGGAAAATTAAACAAACTTTTTTTACATTCCTACATAAACCAAACATGTGAAAGGAAATAAAGTGGTATTTCTTGATTACTTTCCATTGATTATCAAACATGGAAAAGGAATCTCCAATTCTCATCCCTTGAGAAATGACATAGGAAGTGATTTCCCCTCAAATTCGTTCCGTAAACCAAACGGGGCCTTTATGTGACTATTGAATGATAATACTAATTACAATATTGTTCTTGCTTTATCAGTTTAATATTTTTTCCTAGGCTTCAAATAGGTCATGGTCAATTATGAATGAGTCGGATGAAGAAGAGTATCAAAAAGAAGGAGTGACTTATATTCTAGCATTGGATTTGAACACATTACAAATCATCAATGACCCAACAGTTACAGGCGTGTCACCAAACCAAATGCATAAAGATAAAAACAAACACACCTTGACATTAAAATAGAACTACACAAAAATCTGGTTAACATCCCTTAATCCAGATTTAGTTATCTTTTCCATTCTCATCATTCTCTTCAGCAACTTCATCTCTTTGTATCGATCAACACTGACTTTGCCTTTCCCAAATCAATAGCTAAAATGTTTGACAATAGAAGTTTATGTTGGCCAATAAACTTCAACATGAATGCACATATATTTTGCACCAAATTTATTGGCAAAAGAACTTGAAGATATGCAACCACATACTCTGCTTCACAAGTACAACCCAAAAGTTCAACCCAAAAGAAAAAAGAAAAAAGAAAAAAGGCAGCAGCAGCAAAAGGTTGTTTTTCTTTGGAAGACCAAGAAAATGTGATTGAGCCAAAATAAAAAATATATCCTTTATGTGCTTTACAAAATGTCTGCAAGCACCCATGTGTTATTTCTGCATTGCCTTTATCCCTTTTCATATAGCTTACCCCCTTGTCACTTTGAGTCACTTTCAAATGTAATCATGCAAGGATTTGGCATATGGGTGAGGTGGGTTGTAGCCCACCCCATTTCAGCAAGGCCAAGAAAAAATACCATGTTATTCGTATAGGCCCTAATATATATATATATATATATATATATATATATATGATGTTATCTTTGTATGTAAGTTGAGGATGTGGAAATGAATAATATAACCTTTAACACTATAAATTTGGAAAATGTCATAAAATAAAGGAGATTTTATCAAAATTTGAGATGAATCGTTCCTTGTTGACGTTTTAAAATCCTTAGTTCGTGCCTGAATATAATAAAATTACAATAGACTAACTCTTCCCGAGCTTATAGGCATTGAGTGGAAGCTATTGGCAGTAGGGCTCTGTTTTTAAACTCTTGAGTTTCATTTTGATCAAGATCAATTTAGGATGATGAATTGACTTGTTCCGTGTTGATGTGGTTGATAAAGTATTATTAAATTTTGAATTATATTGAAAAGTCTGAACTTATTAAAATTCAAAATTGGTGATTGAACAACTAATTTATCCATTAATGTACTATTTTAAGTGCCCCTGCCGACATAGTTACCTTTGGCCCCGAGTCCCTATCTAAAAATTAATTTGAAGCCAGTCTTAATTAAGTAGTTGATTGAAAAATGATGTTTCGTTATCATACTGTTCTCATCAAATGAAATTCCTTCCTTCCCTTCCCTTTGAATGATCAACAGTGTAAGTGTTGCTTCCCTTGCATATCAATGAACCGTATTTCTATAATCTTTTTGATAATCTACATCGACAACACAAATTAACCTTTAGGGGTTATACGTTGACGATCTCTTTGAATAAATTTTAATGAATTATTTTGATATATATATCAAATTGTGATCCGAAGAATGCAAGAATAATGACTTTCTTCAGAAATAGGAGTCGAGAAATGTTCAAAGCTAAATACAATTTGCACGCAACATGACCAAATTAGAACTGTTTAGGTGATTATTGTGGTTGGAGTCATAATTAGATTAATGGAACCACACTAATTGTAGTTTCTCCTGACCCCATGATCTTAACATTAATTCATCAATTAAATTGCACGAGGGGGTCACTAATCATGCAATAGCTATATCAAACAAAATAAAATTCACAATTTCAAAATAAAGAAAGTAGATAAAATCATGATTAGTATATGCCATGGTCTCTTTGGTGGGATATTAATATAATTCGAACTTGGATTAGCAAACCAAATAGTATTTTACTTGACACTGAGGGACAGCTGTGCTGCTAATTATGATCAATGTATGTTATACTTGTCAACTAATGACCATGATGATATTTATAGTTAAACTTAAATAGAAACACATAATATTATTTAATGGGGGAAGATGGAAGAAACTATAGAAAATCTTATAAACCTAGGAAACACTAACCTTGTAGCATCTTTAAGGAAACCCTTAACCTCAAATTCTTGTTTCTTGGGTATGTTCCAAGCTAGGTTGCATTCCGTTGTGGGACATATCATTATTTTTCACACTTGGTTGGGTCCATATCTTTCTTCCCCCCATTTTTAAAATTCCTCTTCACCTGCACCTCTAACTTGGTAATGATGAATGCAATACATGGGTCCCCAACCCCAAGGGAAGGTAGCAAGCAAAATTTGCAACATACATTGTCCTTGTTTTTTCTTTTTCTTTTTTGTGTGTTGGGGGAAATAATCAAATATAATTTGTTTACTTGTCTGGTGGAGCTAAACAATCTAACAGTGTCAGTTATTTATGCGTATACGTTTGAGTGATTTATAATTGTTGATTGATGTGAATTTTACAATGAACTTCAAAGCGATCAACGATTACGAATCGTCCATACATAATCCTAAGATTGAGGAGGGTAAAGCTTAAGGAGAAAAAACACACAAGAGAGAGATATGATGAAAAAATTGTAAGTCAAGTTGCTTGGGCTGTGTTTCATGACTACAAAGGGGGTGCCCTAATGGCCCTAATCATGAGCACTTTCTCCTTTTTGGTCTTCCAACCGGTAAGTAGCAGAAAACAAGGAGATTCTAGTAATTTAACTGCATCTGAATTTAAAATGACTATCCACGTAATTAGTGCCTACGAAAATTATTCGGATTTTATTGTCCAACGGATAACTTTATCATAGGCCCTCAAACTTGATATGACGAAAGTACCCCTATTCTCATGTCCTTTTTCAGAAGGAAAAAGTAAAAAAGAAAAGGAATTTCTCAGAGAAGGTTGAATGAGAGAGCTTTAGGCTTTACGCAAAATTTAGGGCATTTTTGAGTGCACGTGAAATTGTGGCTGACATGACCCACGAAGGAAGACGATGAGACTGAGATGAGATTTGCACTTTGTGGCTGGGTCACAAGTCACATGGAGAGCTGAAAATGATGCATTTCTTCTTGGTCTTGGAGAAGTAGTGGCAAAAAAGATAGAAGCAAGCATATCCTTAAAGAACAAAGCAAGAAAAAAAGTAAATGAAAAATCACATGTCCCTCTAAATATTCTAATCTCAAAGTCACACCAACAACTCAATTTTGCTCAACAAGCTTTTTGACTTTGTTACCTTTGCATAGAGCTAGCTCACGAGAATATCCCTTTGAGAGGAATGTACAAGTAGAATCGACTAGTTGCCAACATGATCACCAACCCCAAGTAATCCAATTATAATGATGTTTGAGTGAATATCAACATGGATTTTATTAATGAAAAACGTGTACGCTTAAAATAGAAGAACCGGTCCGTTAATATTATCACGAACAAATAAAAGATATGGTTTGATGCTTCAATTAAAGGTGGGAAATTGGAATAGGTATAGAATACTCACGAATTGAGGTTAATTAAGATGTATCTTCTAGTGTGAATGTGACGAACCCCTACATTTTATAGACTAAACAATGCACTATGTTGTAGTTTAAAATTTTATTTTGAATGTTAATGCCTTTTCTATTGTTTAATCTATGTGGATTGTATTGATTTTAAATTTTGTGTAGGGGATTTATGAATTTAAATTGTTGAGCTCTGGATTTTACAATGTCCGTTAATCCATCTCTCTACTAGCTTTTCACATAATTCTCTAATTGGAGTACTATTTATAAAATTATTTTTAACGCATTTCAATTTGAGAGATATTATTCAAATCGCTATTTACAAAGTAATAACAAACCTAACAACACATACAAGATACAATACTTATATATATTCCTTTTTTACATATGATATTGTATGATCTCGGCCATGTTTAAAGTTCTCTGCAAAAAAATCAACAAAATGAAAAATTATTTTATTAGGATAAATACGGTTAGTTTCTTGATCCCGACCGTTGAAAACATAATCTCCTAAAATTGGTTCGCCGAATCCATGCGCAATTAAGGGTCGGATTTCAAAATTTTAAATCACGCCCAATCTTTTCCCTGAGCCCGCTGAATCGCCGTCGTCGATACAAAAACGAAAACAAAACAGTCAACACCAACAGCAAAATAGAAAGGGCAATGTGGTAAATCCAGCTCCAACGGATGGATCAAATCAAACTCAACTGGCACGTGGCTGTACCTCCGGCGTCACATGCTTGCCACATATATCTCGTACGCGGTACAAGATTTCAAATTTATGTATAAATATAACCCGACCCGTTTTTCTCGCTCCTTGTTCTCTCTCTCTCTCTCTCTCTCTCTCTCTCTCTCTCTCTCTATCTGTTTTTAAATTAAAACGCAAGAAAAGAAAAGAAAAGAAAGAAGAAAAGAGTAGCTCACTCCAAGTCATCTCCTACTCTCCTTTTATCTCCCTTCAACTCCACCCTTTCCAAAAGAGCCATTAAAATACCCACAAACCCCACAGCTCCAGCCCCCAAAACAGTCGGAATAACGTTCCAGAACTCAGGGTCATTATCGTCATTTCGCAACCACACTCCTCCGCCCTCCGCCACTCGGTTTGGACGGCCGAGAGTCCGACAGACCCGACCCGAAATGGAGAGGAGCACGCCGGTGAGGAAGCCCCACACGTCCACCGCGGATCTGCTCACCTGGTCCGAGACTCCTCCTACTGACTCTCCTCTGCCCTCCTCCGCCTCTCGCTCTGCTACTCGCTCTCACCAGGTACAATTAAAAAATTCGATCTTTTTTCTATTTTGTTTGTTTTGATTGGTTTGGTGATTATGGGGTTGTTTGATTTGTTGTTGTTGTTCTGGGGTTTGATCGTAGCCGTCGGATGGGATCAGAAAGGTGGTGTTTGGAGGTCAGGTGACGGACGAGGAGGTCGAGAGCTTGAACAAACGGTCAGATCTGCTTCTTCCTGCTTCTGCTTTATGCTTCTTCTTCACATTTTCTTTTCTGGGTGTTTATTTTTCGAAATTTGGTTCTTTGTTTTCGTTTTTGTGGTCATTATAAGTGGACTCATTTGTGGACCTGCAACGGATTTTTCTTCTCAAATTCTTATGATTTTGAAAAACAAAAATGAGGTTGCTTTTTTTGTTTTTGTTGGTCCCAAGTTGGTTCTAGAACCCTCTTGGTCTTAAAATATATTGCTTTTATTTATTTCTTATATTTGGATATTCCATTGGAATTTTATTTCCAGTAAATTCTCCATTTGTTTTATAAAGGAAATGGATTGTTGAATTGAAGATTGATTAAGTCAATGATCTGTGATCGATCTACCTTTATTTGGCCTATGAATCCTCATAAATAATTCGGTCCAGAAAAAAAGTCCTCTTCAGAAATAATTCAATTTTTTTTTGTATTATAAATTTTGCAAATTTGACCCGTGCTTTAATAAATGAGTTAAAATTTTGAGTTACGTATTTATAAATTGAAGAGTTAGGTATTTGTTAGTTGACAGGTTTTGTTATTGAGGTAAAACGTTAAGAGTTGTTTTTCTTGTGTGTGTGTGTGTGTGTGTGTGTGAAATTAGTCATGTGGACGAGTTTAATTTGTTGTGGTAAAAGCTTGGATATTTGTAGTGAAAATAAACATGATGTGGTCATATGTAATGGGCTTTAGTTGTATTAATTGTGCCGTTTATCTAAGACCTCTAACATTGTTCACTTTCAAAATTTCCAGCAAACCTTGTTCAGGGTATAAGATGAAGGAGATGACTGGGAGTGGCATTTTTGCTCCAAAGGCAGAAAATGATGCCTCAGAATCTGATGGTGCCAACCTTACCCCAAAACCCGCAATTCGTATGTACCAGGTACCAATCAATATGTGGTTAATTTTTAGATTGATTACTTAAACACATATCATAGTGTGGTATGTTAGTTTGGCGCAAAACCCATTTCCTGAATTTGTCTTCCGTTGTTATGAAATGGCAGCAAGCGGTTGCTGGAATCAGTCATATCTCATTTGGTGATGAAGAGGGTGTTTCTCCCAAAAAGCCTACAACCATTCCCGAAGTTGCAAAGCAGCGTGAGCTAAGTGGGACCTTGGAAAGTGAAGCAGAGAAAGAGGCAAGGCTGAAGAAGCAGCTCTCTGACTCTAAATTCAAGGAGCTTAGTGGGCATGACATATTTGCACCCCCTCCTGAAATTTTGCCCAGGACAACTACTGCTCCACGTGCATTGGCCTTGAAAGGAAGCATAGAGATAGGAGAACCTGCTTCCCCCAATGGTCACACATCTGTTAAGGTTTCTAATGTGAGTGAACTGTGTGGTTACTTGTGCATAATGCATATAATTATCTGTTCTCATTATGGAAGTGAAGTATCTAACTGTTGTGAATTGGTTTTTATGTAATAGCCTGGTGGGGGTCAGAGCAATATAGCATCCAGTGAGGAACCTGCGTCCAAGACAGCTAAGAAGATTTATGAGAAGAAATTTTCTGAGCTCTCAGGAAATGATATATTCAAGGGTGATGTTCCTCCGTCGTCAGCTGAAAAACCACTGAGTAATGCAAAACTACGAGAGATGAGTGGCAGCAACATCTTTGCTGATGGGAAGGCAGAGGCTCGAGACTACTTAGGTGGTGTACGCAAACCCCCAGGTGGAGAGAGTAGCATTGCCTTGGTTTAACATGTTAGGTCTAACTGGGTTATTTTATTTCATCACATGGTGTCTGGTTTTGTTCGTTGTTCTCCTAGTGCTGGAGGATGTGCTATTATATTATTTGACCTTTTTATTGTGGGTTTTGGGAATTATGTTTTAGGTTATAACGGGATCGGCCAGAGCTGTGGACTATCTGCTAATTGGGTTGTGTATGTCCATATTTTTGTGTTCTTTCAGTGTTTGTCTTAATGAAGTGCTTGGCTGTTTCAATGGGTTTAATTTATGAATTAGCTTTACATTGATTATGTTTTCTTTGGTGACACCAAAGGCACCTTTGTTGAGCTCTTGATCATGAACTTTTAGCTATTTTGTATTGTTTGTGTTCCAACTTCCATTTGCTTTCAGATGCTGGTGCAAAGGGAAATTGAGAAGCAAAAAAGTTTTTGATTGAAACTTGGTTCCTTAAAACTCAAGCTCTGCAGGCTTGTAAATTCCTTTACTCAAAGTTAGGTGAGCTATGAGCTATTCATGGTCTTAAAACTAGCTTGGAGCCTCGAAAGAAAGGCGTTTTGGCTGCGGTTGTTGAAAATGACTTTGCAGCTGTAATGGCAGTAATTCGGCGGCCAGAAGAATATCATCCTCTTCCCAACATAATGGCCTGGTAGAAGGTTTCATTAAATGGACTGCCGGATTGGGCGCATAATATTCATAGAAAAAGAAACAACCATGATTAGGAAAGTGAGTCAGAAACGTTAAGAGTTTGATCCCTTTCAATTATTCCGAAAGAACTATGGCCGATTCGTTGGCCGATCTCCAATAATAATACCCTAAGCGCGGTTATTTTACCAATTCAATGATGTGGCATGTACATCAAATTTTACATCTCTTCGTTTATTACTAATTGATTTTGGATCAAATATCGTAACTTTAACATGATATTAAAACATACTGGTAAACCGTGAAAATACAATATATACATAATGACAAATCACACCAATAACACAATCAAATTATATTAAAATAGGAAATTCCAATTTGGAGGTGCCGTGGCGCCGAAGTCTCACCAGTCGAAGCTTTATGCTCCGCTACGCTTCTAGCCCTCTAGCTTTTGACTTGAGTTGAGACAATCTTCTTCCTCATTAATTTTATTTCCATTAAAGCTATGCTCTGTTCGTACCCTATGGCAAAGCTAGCCTCGCACAGAGGAAGGAAATCAATTTGTTGGGCTGCAACAAATTTTTGGCCCAATCACCTGCTATCTGATGCTCACTTTATTTTAAAAATGTGGGCCCCACTTACATGCGGCTCTTTATTAATAATCTTTGAATATTTTTTCTGAATAATATATATATATTTTTTGCAGCAGCCAATAAGAAGAGGCTATGACTTGCTTATATTAAGCTACAATCCAATTGGCAACATTGGCCTGAGCTGAAAGTTACTTTTATCTAATTTTGGTAAAAGACTTAACCAGAACGGAAGCACAGTAGGAAACAACTGTAAAAAGAATATGATAATTACTGTAATAAAAGTAAAAATTAATTTAAATTTGGGAAACAAAATCAAATTAGATTAAGAAGATAAGCACATTAAGAAACATAACAAACCGAACTTGAAGGCGAGAAAATCAAGCTGAGTTTGTTATGTAGGTTAGAGCCTGTTTACGAAGTAGATACGGTTAACTAAAACAGATCAGAAGATTAAAAACAAAGATTAATTAAGAAATAGAGATTAATTACTGATTTAAAAATGCAAAAAGAGTTAAGAAATGAATATTCTTTTGGCCTGAAAATAAAAAAATGATTGAAAATAGCCTTTCCTAGTTCCTAGTCAGCCTCAGAGCCCTCTCTCTCTCTCTCTCTCTCTGCTTTTTGCTGTGCTGTTGGGTAGTGCTGTAGTGCGACTCTTCATTTTAATGGCGTGAGTGTGAGCGGTGGCAGAGCGTACTATCAAATACTGAGAGAAAAACAAGAAGAAGAAGAGAGGATCAAAACCCTCTCTCTCCCTCTGTTCATTATCTTCCTCTCTCCCTATCTCGCAAATCCCATTGCCGAATCCACAATCCCAAAATGACATTGACATTTGCATCACTGCTTGAACAAACACTATCACTGCTTGTTTTCTGTGCTTGATGGAACGATACCCTTCTTTTATTCTTCTCTGAATCGTTTTCTCACGTGGGTTTTGGGATTCTGAATCTGGGTTCTCTCTGTTTTTCTCTGAAAAAAGTATTTTTTCTTTCTGTGCGTGTGTGCTTTTACGTGTATTGTATATTAGACATATATATTGTGTGTTGTATGTTGTATAATGTTTAAAATAGCTGAGGAAGACGAGATGGTTTTACAGAAAATGAAGAGGGAAAGAGAAGAGCTTGAGAAGTTTTGGAATGAGAACCCCAAGAATCAACCATATTCCAATCTCATTCATCTTCTTCATCCTCCTCATCATCATCACCTTGTGAGTGGTTCACCTGTTAGCAGAGCCTCTCTGCAATCAGAGTTCTCTCCTTCAAGCTCTTTCTCAAATGGGTTTTATTCCTCTGAGGATGGCTCTCCATATTCCACCCCATTTGAGGAGGCCAAATATCAAACACCTTACATGAATGGATTGTGGTTGGACTCTAAGCCTCCTGATTCTCATTTCAATGAGAAGATGGGGGATGATCTGGGTTTGGCTGAAAGTTTCTACAGTATGCATATTGGGGATGAACAGGAGGGTGGTGCTAAAAGGATGGGATTGAGAGAGGCCCAGATGGGTTTGGGCTTGGTGGTGGTTTTTCAGCTGGTACTAGTTCTTGGAATGTTGAAAACTATGGCCTACTTGAAAGTTCTAAGAATAATATATCTGATTTTGAAGCTCTTAAATCCTCTGGGTTTGGAGTTAGAGGCAGGTTTGATGGTACTATTAATGAGTCAGCATTGCTTGGATTGCAGAAAAGATGTACTGTTGGTAATTCAATGGGGTCTTTTCTTAATCATATGCAGCCCAATGCTTTGTATTCTGGCCCTAGTGGTGTAAAAAATCAAATGAGTTGTATATCAGGGCAAAGAAAAGAGGAACAGGGAGATGGTTGGTATCAGAGGAAACCATCTCTTGCTAGGCCTTACCTTGATGAAGAATTTTTTTGCTTACAGCTACATGGAACGGATTGTAATGGTGGAAAGGGCCTTATGTATCCAATGGGTTCCCCTCAGTTGTCCTCAGTTGCTCGGTTGAATGTGGACAATCTTTCACATAATCATTCAATGATAAAACAAAGGACTAAAGTAAACCCAAATAGTGGGGTTCCTGAATCTTTCAAGTCTCTGAAATGTGCAAGGGAACTTGAGTGTTTTTGCTGTGAGGATAGTTTCATTATACAAGGAAAACATTTGAATCATACCATCAGCAAGGGTAGCAAATCTTCAAAGGGTTACAAGAAGAACTCTTGCAATAAGGCAATGCAGACAGAAGGAGAGAAAAGCTCTAGACTGGATTCCACTTTATGTAATGGAGGAATTAGTGGGAGTGAATGGAGTCAGAGTAATAATATCTCAATGCGCTCACTACTAACTTTAGGTTCATTGGCTGAGGTCCAGGGATATATATACGTCATAGCAAAGGATCAGTATGGTTGTCGATTCTTACAGAGGATGCTTGATGATGGGACCTGTCAAGATGTGCAATTAATATTTGATAAAATAATCAATCATGTTTTTGAACTGATGACGAACCCGTTTGGCAATTACCTTATGCAGAAGTTGTTGGACGTGTGCAATGAACAACAAAGAATGCAATTTGTACTCAAGGTGACCAAAGAACCAGGACAGCTTGTCAGAATTTCCTTAGACACACATGGGTATGTCCTTCCTTCTGTACATATTTGTGGTAACTTCATTTGTAGTATTTGTTCTTTACTAATTTCTTGCTTCTAAACATATTGGTGCTATGGTTTCAGCACTCGCGTGGTACAGAAGTTGATTGAGACTGTTAGAACTGGGAAACAGATCTCATTAGTTAAATCATCCCTTGAATGTGGTTTTCTTGATCTTATCAAGGATCCAAATGGTAATCATGTGGTACAACGTTGCTTGGACTGCTTTAGCAATGAAGATAATAGGGTATGCTGTTTTTATTTCTTTAATTTTCTTGTTAGCTTCATTGTTTAAATAAGCCTCTTAAGATTGAATATCTCTGTATTGAATATCTTCTAATTCATGTTTCTTCTTCCTTTTCTGTTATTGTGTTCTGTCTTACACGTTTCATGTGATAACCTAGAATAGACACACACATACATATTGGTTGATGCTGGTCAAGCAAAATTCTTTTAATCACAACTATTGTGAAAATGCAATATTCTTGTCAAGTCATTTATTTGCTATAGGCAATGCACTGGTTTGGTGCAATATTTCTATAAAACTTGGCATGCATGTTTATTGAAGGTGTGAACTGTTTCATCTGATGTGGGCAGTGTGCTTATAATAGGGCAACCAAATGATAAATCAAGTACTAGGTGGTCTTTAGTTCCAATCCCCTGTCATTTGGGGCCAGCCACTCTAGTTTTCTTTTGTATCTACCTTGAACTAGACCCATCCTTGATCGTTCTGTGGGAGGAGTCTAATCTTACATTAATTAACCAGTCTCACCAACTCTTTCCCAGTTAATGCTTCAAGTTCTCTACCCCAAAACTTTCGAAAGTAACCTTTCTGTTGTTTATGCTGATGCCTAAAATAGTCCCAACTAATCCGATGATTGTATAAGTGAAGGTTTCAAGTCCAGTTATGATCCCTGGGCACCAACCTCTGGTCTAGGATCATTATATTGATTATCATGCCTCAACCTATTAATTTATATCTAATTTCTTTTCCTTCTGATTCATCTAGTCCTCTGTAAGTTTCTTGGTCACTTCTGTTGGTAAAGTCAAATGCCCTTGACTGTTGATCTAGACATCAGATGGAAAGGTATCTTACTGTTTTGACAAATTGTCATCTGATCTTGAAGATTTTTATCACTAATATTGATAGAAATTTTTTCTTTGGGCTCTGAATGTCGATTTATAGACTTGGTTTAGGAAAGGCTAATAGTTAATCTATTAACACACCCTAAACTAGAATACTCCTTGTTTTCCTTAAACCCTTAGGGTGAGTTTGTACTCTAGAAAGTCAGGGGGCTGGGTCAGATATATGCAAGTGAGCAATTATGATATACTACTCTACATAGGAGTGAAGATGATAAGGTCTGGATTGAAAAAACCACATACCAATACGTAATTGCGTTGCCAAAATCAAAGACTGACGTTTTCAGTCGCAATGCTAATAATATATAAATCAACATGTCACATAGTCTGTATGAATAGCAAAATTGAGATGTTGTTTCCAACATGATTGGCGCAAACTTAGCATCTTAGACATTTCATTGAGAAAAAAAGGATAGAACCTTTTATTGGGCATAGAACAGAAAGAACAGAGCTCGACTAACACCTACAATTGTTAAACATTGCAGAGCTATGAGGCACTTACAAAGAATACTTCATCAGTTTCAATAGACTATCTTTGTTGTGTTTGTTTGAGTTTAGAATGGGAAAGTGGAAAGGAGGTGATTTTAAGTCTGGTCTAAGATTCTATTTGTCAGGCCTCCAGCAGGAGGTGACTTTAATCATCCTTGGAATGAACTGGACTTACTATTTTATATGTTTAAAGTATTCTACAGTGACATGAAATATAAACAAGGATGATTGGACAAAATGACTGAAATCCAAAACAAAGTTCTTGAGAGGGATGGTTATGTGCTTTCTGTAGGACCTACTTAAATTTTGTTGAAAAGACGCTGAACTTCTGTTGACTTTTCTGTTAATCTATCTCTTGCAGTTTATTTTTGATGCTGCTGCAAGATTTTGTGTTGAGATTGCAACTCAACGCCATGGCTGTTGTGTACTACAAAAATGCATTGCACATGCCAGAGGGAGACATCGAGATAAGCTGATCAATGAAATTGCCAGGAATGGGCTTCTCCTTTCCCAAGATCCTTATGGGTAATCATTTACAAGCGTCTTTGAACTTTCTTAATTTCTTGTCTTTGCTAGCCGTAAACTCACTAATATGATGTGGTAATCCGAACTAGCTAGAGTGACGTTTATTTTGTTTCTTGAGGAGTCAAAAGTTTTTCCCACTTGCAATTTGTTTGATCCACTTCAGATGCAAACATAAGGCTGATCACTTATATATTTATATTTCATGCTTACAAGGACACAACTGCTAAAGTTGATAAGAATCTACATATTATGCTACAAAACTATTGTGTAGCTTTCTTTTTTCTGTCTTTCCAAGCCAAATATTCAATTTGTTATTTTACAGTTCACTATTTTATTTGGCTTTCTGACTGAAGTAGGGTTTTTATTTTTGTATTTTTGTTCCATTTGATACACAGGAATTATGTTATTCAATATGTCATGGAGCTAAAGATCCCATCTGCAATGGCCAAACTGATTAATCAATTAAAAGGACACTTTGTACGCCTCTCAACACAGAAATGTAGTAGTCACGTGGTTGAAAAATGCCTCAAGTATTTTGAAGAAAGCCGACCAAAAATCATCCATGAATTGCTCTCAGTTCCTTGCTTTGAACAGTTGTTGCAGACCCTTATGCTAACTATGTCGTTCAATCTGCTCTTACAGTTACCAAGGTTTAGGAACCAACATCTCTCCAAGTGATTTATAATGGACTCTCTCTCTCTCTCTCTCTCTCTCTCTCACTCACTCACACACACACACACACGCGCGCGCGCATATGTCCTAATATTTTTGCTTCATTGGCAGGGCCCTCTTCGTGCTTCTCTGGTTGAAGCAGTTAAGCCTCATACAATCTTACGAACCAGCCCATACTGCAAGAGGATTTTCTCACGGGAGCTCCTCAAGAAGTGATGTGTTTTAGCCTATATAGAAAAGTGTTGTTGTTCTCTATGTTGATTAGTAATAACTGCTCTCTTTTGGGCACCTAGCTAAGATATGAGATGTTTGTCTAAATTCCTTGCTGGTCCTCGGATGAAGTGTGCAATTTTGGATGGCATTAAGAAGTCTGAAGGAGTTCGACCAGAGTTTTGCTTCCAGTTTCTTATGATGCAGTTGCTTCTTGTAATACTCCGTTGTTTTGTGTCTTTATCTGAACTTGATGTATGATATTCCACAGTCAGAATAGTGGATTTCTGATTCAATGTTGTGTAAAGGTGATGCAGCATTTCTTTCTTGAGGCTGAGATAGTTCAATGGCCAACCATCTCTTTTTTGTTATACATAGCGCTGTTGGTAGCATGTGACAGGTCTTGTAAGACGTACGTTGTACACACCGGCTTTACACAGGACTATTTTTCCTTTAAGAAACTCTTCTCCAGACGCACTCATCTACCCACAGAAAGTGAATCAAGAGATGAAATTTCAGAGCACATCATAATGAATACGACAAGGGTTTGGTGTTATGAACAAGAATGTATAACTTGAATCGCAAGTAAGATACATTGCCCTTCACACTTGCCTTTAATCTCTAGTATGTAAATGGCTTGCAATTATTTTAAAAAAATTTCCAATGACTTAACTGATGGATCGCTATCAAAGAATGCAGAAGCCAACCAGGGGCTGCTGTCTAATATAGTAGAAAGTTGTGAAAACTCTCAACTCTAACTTCAAGTTTACTGAAGGCAACTATGTATTTCATAATATGAAGACGTTATATCAGATTGCCGCAGATAGTTTTATTCGAACAGACATAAAAAAGCGAACATAGTCAGGAAACCACCACAAAGAGTACAACTCTTAGACTAGAACAGCTCAAGCATCCTCATGTCCAACCAGGGCCAGAAGCATTTTTTCATAATCGCCAGTAGTGTCTTTTTTAATGGCCTGGTCCAGAGTGACACTATTTCTTTTGTGGTACTGCTCCTTTATAAGCTTCATGTCAACCTCAGCTCTTGTAGTGACAACTCTACTGAGAGCTCCTTCATCTGTTCCTCGTTTGTTGATTGCCAGACGAAGAGACTTCTCAAAATACTTCTCAGGGCGGACCAAGCACTTGATTGTGGCCCTTAGTATTGCAAGGTACTCATCCTTGGGGTCAGCTTTCAAATCCTGTGAATAGAAACACTCATCAAATCCAATCCTCTGTGGATACCTAGCATAAAAATGTTTATGCAAAGCTCACTTGTGTACCTTATTATGTCATTCCCAAATTCATTTTTGTAGTGATTGAGAGTTGCATTGATCTGTGCTTGCTCCGTGTGGCCAAAATCCTGATGATATCCTCATCATTGTAGGCCTTGTCTGAGATCTTCTCATGGAGTAGCTTAGCCTCTGATTTTGCCAGTGTCAGGTTCACCTCATCTCCCTCATATCTATATGAGCTAACAAGAGGGGCCAAAAGCTGGGAGGAGCAAAGTTAGATAGTAATTCTCTTTTTTGGTACAAATACAGTGAAATTCTCAAATGAGATAAAACTTGATATGGTAAGTTCATACCAAAATATACGTTGGCCAACAGAAATAAACTTTTTAACATTGACATTTTGGAAATAAAAAAAAGAAACTAAAGGCATATCAATGGATAAATTTAGTCAATTCTTTGCTAGGAAGTTTAGTTATTGCTCTTGATTGGGGCCGGGAGAATTCTCTTAGAAAATAAACTATATCCCTTCTAGGCTGAAAGAACTTATACTCTAGCAGCTGTACCTTGCGAAAGTCCCCGGTTGTGTGATGTGCAACATCCTCTTCGAGGGACTTCTTATAGCGAGAGTGATAAGCCTGCCTTGCCATGAGTAGTTCATGTGAAGACCTACTGCAGGCTATTTCAGCAAGAACCTGATTGCTTTTAGTCCACTTCTTTGTTGCTTCATTGGCCAAAAATGCATCACGTTCAGCTGGATCAAGTGTCCAAAGCAGTATACTCCTCTGGTTAAGAGAAATTCAGAAACCCAAATATGTCAGCCCTTTCAACGATCTGCTTGCTTCCTCCCAAAAGTTAATCAGCCAAACATTAAACTTGTGAAAACTAGTATCATGGATTCGTATCCAATCATGAGAAAAGATAGCTGAAAACAATGAGCTAAATCTCTGCCTTGTCTTGGCAAAAATCAATCATGGTAACAATTTATGTAAAACATGCAGTCAAATTATCTCAACTAATGCAAAAACTAGAGTGCATTCTTAATTTGACCTCAAAATCACTTGTAAGTTCTTTTTCCAGCTCCTTGAGGAGATCTTCTCCATAAGCTTCAGCATAAGTTTGTCGGATCACCTTTCTTTGAGCGGCATTTCTATGCCCCAAGATGGATATGATCAAGTCCTCATTGGTTCCCCATCCTGCAATTGTATTGATAAAAATTCAAGATTACATGAAACCAAACACCCCAATCATGAAAAGTCACATAAAAGAAAGAAAGAAGATAAACTCTGGTCTAAACTATTTTAGCTGTTTTCTATAATTATTTATTCATGTCAAAATACCATTTTCATGTCAAATCAGGTCCTTTACAAACCTTCTATAAATCTATACGTACAGATCATTGTTTTTTTCTTTTTAGATAAATTATCCCAAATGCATTATTTCTTCTGATACAAACAGAGCTTGGGTGCAGAGTGAAAGCATCACCGTTTTACAAAAGTAAGCAATCACATTCATTTACGTTGTATCTAACACTAACAATCGGATCGGTGAAATGGGATTGATCAATCATCAATCATAAAGCCAATTACAAAATATGGGGTGGTTTATGATCAGAACAAGAAATGATGTGAGGGAGAAAAGATCAGAAAAATAATAAAGAAGGAACCTTTGAAGGCCTTTTTGAGCTGCTCACAGTCTTCGGATGCAGGAGGAACTTGTTGAGGAACTCTAAGCGTCGACATCGTCTCCTCTCTCTCTCTCTCTCTCTTCTCTCTGTAGGTGTGGTAAGAAATCGAAAACGAAAATGGCTCTGGTCTATGAACCTCTGTGTTCTATATTATATTATGTGGTGTTGGTAGCTATCCATATATAGTAATATAGTATGGCCCTTGCAATTATCGCCACGTCAAATACTATATTTGTTCCTGTTATATTGGTCTTGGTCATTTAATTTTCACAATTGAATTGTTTATTAATGATTTTGGGGTGGTTTACAATTTCAAATTCTCGTCTGTATTTGCTGCTACACAGAGTATATAAAATTACTAAACAAAACCCTTGTCTTATTTCATTTTGTTTTTCCTCACAAGGATAAACAAACTGTAAAACATCCTAGATAAAGTATATACAGAGCCATAGCATAGTGCACACATGCATGAAATAAATTACAAGAAGGAAACATCTATGGAGAATCTTTCTAATAGAAGACACAGGAAAAGTGAAATATGCATAAGAAAGAAGCACATTCTGATCAGGTAGCCAAAGGATCAAGACCAAGCATTCACCACATGTCATCATATGTACCGGCTTCGACAAATGGAGCATATGAGTTGAGAGGAAATGAGAAACTTGTTTCATTGTTGGACGAGATTTCGGGCTGGAATTCAAGCATGAAAATGCTATCTTCACAAGAGAGACCACTTCGCTTGCAACTTGATGCGTAGGAGGGGAAATGCGTTGGTCCAAAACATCCACAATTGGTATTTGATGGGCTGGTAATGCAGATGATGAGGAGGAGGAGGAAGATGAAGAGACTGATGAGAAAGATGAGAAAAGATCTCCAGGATGCTTTCCCATAATTATTTCCAATGTGACCACACCAAAGCTATAAACATCGCAGTTCTCATTCACTTCCATTGTGTAAGCAAGCTCTGCTCAAAGAAAACCTCAGAGAAGTGGCATTATTAGTTTATAACTATTCAATGGAATTTTAATGAAACTATACCACGCATAAATCGACTTATTAGTTTATATCTTAAGAGAAGTGAAAATGTGTTTATTAGTATATTTTCTAAATCAAAGAAGTGAAAATGTGTTTATGTTAACCGCTCCTAATGATGAAATGAAGCATTGGTCTAAAAGCAAAAGCTTAAAAAGTGCTAAATACAGAGAACAGGGAATCACAATATTACCTGGTGCCATATAGCCATGTGTGCCTGCAGCGGCAGTCCAATTAGTTGAGTCTGGATTTAAAAATTAGCAGTGCCAAAGTCTGAAACACAGGCCTTATATTCAGAATCCAACAAATGTTCTTGCTTGAGATGTCACGATGTACAATCGGTGGCAAGCATCATGGTGCATGTAAGACAAGGCATTAGCTAAGCCTTTAACAATATTCACCCTTTTACTCCACCCAAACTCTTTAGCTTCTTCATCTTTGCTCAACATTGCGGCCAAGCTACCTCTTTCAAGATACTCATACACCAAAAATGAGTGTCGTTTATGTGCGCAGAAACCATAGAGCTTCACAATATTCCGATGTCTTATCTCACTGAGTGCCCTTACTTCATTCAAGAACTCCTTCTGAAATTCTGTCTCGCCATCCCATGGTAGATGGAGTTTTCTTCACGGCCACTACGTCTCCAGATGACAAATTCACTCTGTAGACGCTTCCATGTCCTCCTTCCCAATGCAATATGTGGGAATCAAAATCTTTTGTTGCCCTTATGATTCCTCATACATTGATTTTCCATCAAAATTTAAACCCGAAAAGGAAATTTCTCCATGCGTGTGGTTTTGTTTAGTATCTTGATGCTTCTTCTTTCTTTGCACTATTACAAAGACAATTGTAAAGAGCAGTAGATAGAAGTACAAATACTGCTAGAACAGAGAATATGACTTGGTGTCCTTTTTTGAGCCATGTGCATTGCAGGGTGGCATAGAGCTCCCAACTTTGCCCACACAATCCTTTGTTTCCCTTTCAATCTTTCTGGGGGAGCTTCTCGAAATGCACTGATGTTGGGAAGGGGGACCTTCCAAGTGATTGTAGGATATGTCAACCGTACGACAAGCCTTGCATATCTTCGAAACCTTGATGGTATGGAACCCGAAAGATTGTTGTGGGAAAGATTGAGAGGTCACCAAACTCTCCAAACTGCCATTCTTGATGTGGTATGCTACCTTAAAAGAGAGTTATGCTTAAATCCAGTACGTCAATTGGAACTAAATTCCCCAACTAAAGTGGAATTTCTTGAGATAACTTGTTGTGCTCAAATAGTGTATATTTTGAGCAGTCACCTAGAATGTTTGGATTGACTGATTAAATTTGTTTGTTGACAAGTCAAGATATTCAGATCATTCATGACCGAATTCCGACGGTACACAACCCGAAAGTTGATTTCCATTCAACATCAACTTCAACACGAAGACAACTCCTGAATTCTTTTGGGTCAACCACCCAACTAAATGATTTGAAGAAAGGTCCCAGCACATGAGTTTGGTTGCGTTGCCATCTCAGGTGGGATGAGCACCACTTAAATTGTTATAGGACACCTCTATATCTAGAGAGATTTCAATTCTCCCTATCTCCTTAGGAATCAAAAACACAGAAAGTTGATTGGAATACAAGTACAAATAGTTTAGCCTTTATTTAAGGTTACCATATTTGGAGGGATGAGACACCACTAAATTGTTGTCGGACAAGCTAGATCTACAAGAGATTTCAAGTTCCCTATCTCCCTTGGAAAATCAAAAGAAATCATAACCAAAACTTCAAAACAGCAGACACTTCTGATTCCTTGGGATAACCCAACTAAATGATGTAAGGACCCAGCACATGAATTTGGGTTGTTGCCAATCTCGGGGGATGAGACCACTTAAATTGTTATAGGACAACTCTAGATCTAGAAGAGATTTCAAGTTCCCTATCTCCTTAGGAATCAAAACCCAGAAAGTTTGATTGGAACACCAGTACAAAAGTTTTAGCTTTATTAAGTTTACCAATATTTGGAGGGATGAGACCACTTAAATGTTGGCGAACAAGTCTAGATCTACAAGAGATTTCAAGTTCCCTATCTCCTTGGGAATCAAACCCAGAAAGTTGATTGGAAAACAAGGCAAAGTGTTTAGCTTTATTAAGTTACCATATTTGGAGGATGAGACCACTTAAATTGTTGTCGGACAACTCTAGATTTACAAGAGATTTTCAAGTTCCCTATCTCCTTGGGAATCAACCAGAAAGTTTTTTTACCAAGTACCAAAGTGTTTAGCTTTATTAAGTTACCATATTTGGAGGGATGAGACCACTTAAATTGTTGTCGGACAAGTCTAGATCTACAAGAGATTTCAAGTTCCCTATCTCCTTGGGAATCAAACCAGAAAGTTGATTGGAAAACAAGTACAAAGTGTTTAGCTTTATTAAGTTACCAATATTTGGAGGGATGAGACCACTTAAATTGTTGTCGGACAAGCTTAGATTTACAAGAGATTTCAAGTTCCCTATCTCCTTAGGAATCAAACCAGAAAGTTGATTTTTACCCAAGTACAAAGTGTTTAGCTTTATTAAGTTACCAATATTTGGAGGGATGAGACCACTTAAATTGTTGTAAGCCAACTCCAGATCAACAAGAGATTTCAAGTTCCCTATCTCCTTGGGAATCAAACCAGAAAGTTGATTGGTATGCAAGTACAAAGTGTTTAGCTTTATTAAGTTACCAATATTTGGAGGGATGAGACCACTTAAATTGTTGTCGGACAAGTCTAGATCTACAAGAGATTTCAAGTTCCCTATCTCTTTGGGAATCAAACCAGAAAGTTGATTTTTACCCAAGTACAAAGTGTTTAGCTTTATTAAGTTACCAATATTTGGAGGGATGAGACCACTTAAAGTATTGTAAGACAACCTTAGATATACAAGAGATTTCAGGTTGCCTATCTCTTTAGGAATTTCCCCCAAGAAAGTATTTATAGAGAGACGAAGAAACCTAAGATTTCTTAGGAGACCGATTTCTGGTGGAATTCTCCCAGACAAGTTATTCTGAGAGAGATCAAGATGGTAGAGTTTGGAGAGGTAGCTGATTTGAGGTGGGATGGCATCAAAGAGTTTGTTCAAGCTGAGGTCAAGATATTCAAGATTAGGGAAAGACAAGAATGAAAACTCATGTAGCGTACCTTGAATACCACAAGTGGAAAGGTTTAGCTTGCTGACACTTCCAGCTGCGTTGCATGAAACACCAGTCCAAGTGCATGGGCTTGTTCTTGGTTTTGGATTGGTGCTGGAAGAATTGGTGGCATTAATATTATGAGTGAGAGGGTCGTACCAAGTGAGGTTATTGAGGGCTTGATTTGGAAATAAGCTAGCTTTCCATTTGAGAAGAGCCTTTGCTTCAGTATCAGAAGTAGAAGTAGCAGAAGGAAAAGCAACCCAATTTGGTGCTGAAACAAACAACAAGATGACAAGGCAATAAGGAGGAAGCATAGTTTAGCGGAAGTTAAAGATATCATGGTCATTGTTTGTGTGGTATAAGTATATTGTATGGGTCGTGCCTCACTACTTATATATAGTGTGGGTTAGTCTTTGGGGTCAGTTGAGCATTGAAAAGTCTTTCGGATCTCATCTATAATTGTGGAAGAACTAAAGATGAAATTGCGTTACTGTACATAGGAATAGGAATGCGTAATTGATGGTTTGTTTTTGTCGTTTATTGGATAAATTCATTTGATGGTTTGTATGGGCCGTGCCACTACAAAAATAGAGAGAAAAACACGGTTTTTGGTGTGTGGGTATATTTGAGTAGTAATATTATGCATAGATCTGGTGTTAACATGGCTTGGAACGTTTTCAAGTTCTGCTTAGTCATTTAAATGACGAAAGTTTGCATCCTTAATTTTCAAAATAAAATAATTATAGAGCAAAATGAAAATTAAGTACAATTCAGGAGGGATTTCAATAGCCGGGGTTGAGGTTATGCTCTATCTGTGTGTGTGTGTGTTTTTTTTTGTATAGCTTCGTACATTTTAATTTGTTTCTTATTTGGATTGTTGGGTCTCAATAAAGTTTTCTCTACCAAGAAAATATTGGAACCCTGACACATTGAAAGATAGGAAATAGCACACAATTATCTCTATATATCTTCAGTCAAGTCTTTGTGTTGTTATCTGTAAAAATTGGAAATTTGCATGTTGTCGCTGAACCTTAGTGAAATGAGGTTGATACTTGAATGTCATTTTCTCCTTCCTATTATTACCACCCATGAGTCAAGAACACGATTTCTTTTATATATTTATAGATGTTTTAATTAACCCTGTAAATATTCAAGTTCACCCAACAATATATTTTTTTTAAAACACATTTAAATTCAAGTTTAACCCTATAAATAAAATTTCATATAGAGAGGCTGCCCAAGACAACGTAATTGAGGTTAACTTTGTTTTTACAATTAATTTTGTTTGCCATAAATAATTAAGACATTAATGTGCATAACATTTTTGTTGGTTGAACTTGGAGATTTGCAGGGTTTCAAATAGAAACCTATAATATTTGTTGTCTTTATCACTTGACTTGGCCGCTACTGAGAGTTTGAGAGGCCTTAAAATAAGCGTGTTCATCGGTTTTAGCTAAGAATTGACAAGATAACTTATTGAAGGAGCCATGAACTCAATGCACATGACTTGAAAAACTAATTCAATTCTGTTTGTTTTTTAGTATGCACAGCTTTCTCATAGACTTTTCTCTGATCAGGGGGTCCTCCACTTTGATGTTTTGGGAGAAAAATATATTGGAATTATTGAAATGAAATTGATGGAAAGTGAGAGGTTGCTATTTGCATGATATAGGGGTTTCAGAATGGTATGACATGAGAGCCTGTTCCTTGTGCTCTTGATTAAAGTTGTGTGCAGACTGTAGAGCCAAGTTTCTCCTCCAGCAGCCACT